CTCAGATTCATTAGGAGTGGACCTCTCTGACTATCAGTCTCAGGGGCCTCTTGTGGCCAGTATGAATATAAGAGCCTCTCAGACCATCGGTCTCAGGGCCTCTTCTGACTAGTGTGGATAGAGGGCCCTCCCAGACCACCGGTTTCAGGGGCCTCCAGTGGCCAGTTATATGAACAGAAGGGCCTCACAGCCATCAGCCTCGGGGCCTCTTCTGACTGGTGTGAATATGAGGGCCTCTCATACCATCAGTCTCAGGGGCCTCCTCTGCCTAGTGTGAATATAAGGGCTTCCCAGGCCATCAGTCTCAGGGGACTCTTCTGGCTGGTGCCGGATTGAGGGACCTCCTAGACCGAAAGTTTTGGGGGTCTCCTGTGGCCAGTATGAATAGAAGGGCCTCTCAGTCCATCAGTCTCATGGGCCTCTTCTGCCTGGTGTGATTATAAGGGCCTCTCAGGTCATCAGTCTCAGGGGCCTCCTCTGACTACAGTGTAGATGGATAGGCCTCCCAGACCATCAGTCTCAGGGGCCTCATCTGACTATTGAGGATAGAGGGGCCTCCTCTGACTAGTGAGGGTAGGGGGCCTCGGCTAGACCGCCAGTGTCAGGGGCCTATTCTGGCTAGTGTGGATGGAGGGGCCTCCCAGACCACCAGTCTCAGACCTCTGACTAGTGTGGATACAGGGGCCTCCCAGACCGCCAGTGTCAGGGGCCTCCACAGATCCACTAGGGCCTCTCAGGCCATCAGTCTCAGGGGCTTCGACTGACAAGTATGAACAGAGGGCCTCCTTGGATCCATCACGGCCCCTTGGAGTCCGTGCATGGAGATTCGTGGAACTTATTTTTACCGAGTTTGTTTATTCTGGAAGGTGACGACGTCCTCTCAAATCGAGACGAGGGGCCTCGAGTAAAAGGTGGGTGGGCCAAAACACATGGTTGGCCCCCCCACCTCGAAAAGTGGGTGGGCACTTGCCCACCTGGCCCCCCCTGTTCCTACGCCTATGGCATTCCCTAATCATTTCTGAGCCGCACTGTAAAAGAATTAAGGCGCTAGCACAGGGCTGACCGGCGCTACTCAAGTTTTCGTCCGTTGCGGTCGGGTGCCGCGGTGGGCGGGCGGCCGCGCCGCGGGCGGGCAGCCACAGCGGGGGTTCACCGGTGCATCCCTCTCCTATTCCTAAACGAAGTGTCCTATCGCCTCGCAACAAAAACCAACGGATTGTCCTTGACAAGATCTCGCGAGTGAGCATATTACTTTTGACTTAAGGTCAATATTTGACCTACTTATAGCAGGTCAAAGTCAAACGTCTGTCGAAATTGCAATCCGCGGTGAAAGTAATCCGCCCCGACCGCGACACCCGACCGCGCCGGACTAAAACTTCAATAGCGCTGGTCTGCCCTGTTAGCGCCTTAATTCTTTCACGGTGTGGCTCAGAAATGATTAGGGAATGCTATGGTATGGTGCACTAACGGGCACACACTGTGTTAGCTGCTGTAGGTGAAACGAAAGCAAATATGTTTCACTAAAAAATTGTTATTGAAACATGATGACAGATGATTAGATTACCGCCACACCAAAAGAGATACGGCTTTTTGTGACCCAGCATGAGAAGCAGCAGGCTTTAGGGATCATTGCCATGCATAATTTTTGTAGTTTCTATTAAATGAGCGCACGCTAGCGGCGTATGAAGTTGCAAGTATCCGACAGTCATTTTACGACATAGAAAATGTCACGACTTCTGACAATCATACACGAGGCCGGTTTTGAAAGCTAAACATGAAAGCTATGTGATTTCAGATGCACCAAACATTTCTTTGGTTAGCCATATCGCGATTTACTCAGTTTGGTAAACTTGACTTTTTGGTATTTATGGCCACTCGTGAACCCCATTTGCATCACTGTGGCACAGGTCGGTCAGACACAGGACGGTACGGGTGCAGGACGAGCGCCCGCCCCATCCAGACATGGGAAATGCTGGGAAAGAAGCAACCAAACAACGATCGATCTCTAAAAATAGTGTACTCGTGAGCCTCAACATAAATTGCACACGTATTGTGTACTTTGCCCGCTCTATGGGAAGCAGCTCAGCGTCACAGCACCCTCCACGATCTCCGTTAGTAGGCTGCTAGTAGCTGCCGTCCGGCTCTCCGTCCGGCGCTATGTAAATTGGATGGCTGTTGACGTCCGTCACAAGGGGCCTCGGCCGTTCCCCGGCCCATCTCGGCCATCCACCGAGTAATAACTGCAGTATGAACGGCCCGCGCCATTCGGCCGGAGCAAACAACGCCCGGGGAGGGACCCCGCTGCACTGGCGTTCACGACCTCACGACGGCTACCGAGGGGCTTCCTATGACCAGCGAGGCGCGTCACCGTTCGCTGGGTCACCCTGCCAGCAGCACTGGCTGTGTCTGACGACCTCTCTGCCACTGGAGGCGACAGGGCCGACCCCCGGACCCGCCCCGTCCGGTGGAACCGTGCCAGAGGGTCGACCAGCGCTCTGTCAGGGCCGAGCCGTCAGAGACACGCGCCCGTACGCTGCCCCGGTCCACCGCCCGACCACCGTACCCCCGGCAACGAGCGGTCCGCTCACACAAGGTCCACGCGAGAGAGAACGCATCAGCCTTTCAGCCGTCAGTACCAGACTCGTTTTCTCTGTGGTTGTGTCGGCGCAGCTGTCATCAGCGTACGAGCGGGGTGAGGGAGGGAGGCGGGGTGGAGTGGCCATCCTGCGTCCGCCGTATGAATGCCCAGTAGTGGGGGAGATGTGTTGATATGCGGGGCGGGTTGGTCACGTGCCGATGGCTCAGGGAGCTTCAAGGGTGGGGAGGGACGGTGGGGAGGGACGGTGGGGAGGGACGGTGGGGAAGGACGGTGGGAGAAGGGATATCGACCAGTGCTCGGAATCCGGTCGGCCGAGTGGGACCGAAGGGCTGAGATGTTCTGGAGAGACGGGACTCTGTCCGAAGTCTGAGAGGGGTGGTCCGGGAGAGACGACATACTGGGCCCGGCCATCAAAGACCAACCACATGCGAAGCAATAACAGGTAGTTAGGTTATTTTTATTATGAATGATAGATATGCTGAAAGGTTAGGCACCGTTGTGGTAGTTTTATAATGAAAAAGGTTCATAATTATATCAAGTGCCTTTTTCTTAATTTTTAAACCGTGAAGGAGTCAGAAGAAGTATACACTGTAGCGAACAAGGAACATAATGAATTTGATTTCTTCTAGAACTCTTCTAAAATCTTTCGCCCCTTTAATTAAGCTCCTCGATTTTCTCCTAACCAACCAGTAAAACGCCTTTTGGGCGAAGAACGAGCGAGCGAGATAGTGAGCCCTGCACGTGCGGAAAGGCGAGAGGGTACTTCCAAGGGGCTTGTGCAAAGCACCCTTCTAACCGGTCGCTAGCGGTGTGCCAAATTTGAACGCAATCGGCCCAGCCGTTCCTGAGATCTGAAAGCGGCATTCTGCACGTGCACACGTGCAAACGGGGTCCAAAATGACTTTTGCACGGCACCCTACTAACTGGTCCCCAACCGTGTACCAAATTTGAGCGCAATCGGCCCAGCCGTTTTCGAGATCTGGAAACGCCACCTGCACGTGCGCACGTGCAGTAGCACCCTAACCGCAACACATGGGAATGCATTACCTGGTGGGTGCCTACCTGTATGCCAAGTTTCAGCGAAATCGCCCCAGTAATTACCGAGTTATTAAAATGGGAACAAATTTGACACCTCTTATTGTTGTATTTTGCACGTGCACTGGGGGTGACCCACATGCATAGAGAGTATCCTATTTTTGGTAGAAGGGATGCAGCTACCCTACAAAAATTACCGCAAGACAATCGCCCAAGCGGCTGCTGAGATATGAGCCTCTCAAAATCACTACTTTTGCAAAACAGCTTGAACACCCTTGACTTTTCACGTGGCACGTGCCACGACGGTCCCTGAGATGTATCAAAAGTAGTCAATTACGGGGTAGAAGGGATGGGGCTACCCAACAAAAAAGACCGCAGGCCAATCGGTCCCGGTCCAGCGGTTGCTGAGATATAAGCCTCTCAAAAGCGTTACAGGCCGGGCCGGGCCGGGCCGGGCCGGGCCGCTCATACTGAGATTTTTCCGTTATATTGAAAAGACTTCGCTTCGCTCGCTACGCTCGCTCGCTCGTAATAACATTCCGCGGAGCTGAAACCATCAAACAAGCCAGGCACATTACAGGATCTTGCAGCCGCCTTTCATCAGACAGCACCAGATAATGGAAAGGAATGGCGCGGACGATCTCCGCAATCAGGAACACATAACAGCAATAAAACACATTTTAGCTCTGGGTTCACCGTGGTCATTTTGACGCGTGTCCACACCGAGTGTCGCACATGGAGTTGAGCTAATCCCATCGTTTGGGTCTGGGCTAACACTTTGGGTCCAAGCTAACCCTACCGTTTGGGTCTGAGTTATCCCTACCGTTTGGGGCTGAGCGAACCTTGCAGTCTGAGTCTGAGCAAACCCGTCCGTTCGGACATGCTCTGAGTGCCACCCCGGCGGTCCCAGTCCGCCACGTCAAGAGTCCATACGTGCACTGACTGACAGACACGGGCTGGAGTTCAATCAGAGTTCAGACACGTGCTGACTGTCGAAGATGTCATCCAGTTCAACACATCAGATTTAGAACCCTACACCACGAGACGACAAGTCGTCGGCACGCCGGAGCTCTGCGCGCCGAGCACCGATAAGCCGGAACGTTCCCCATCCCAGAACCCGACACGACCGAGGAATATCCGCCACCGTCCAGAAATATCCCAGAACGAGTCCTCGTATTCAGTCCTCGGGTGTCGCAGTGGAACGGCGCGCCTAATTAGCAGTCTAATTTGCGTAGTTTGCCAGACCGCTCAGATGCGACCAAAGCCCACCACACACCAGCATAAACCAACAATAACCCGGGCCAAATTGTGTCCCAGCCCAGAATTGTGACCCAATCCTCGGGCTCGTTCGGCAGAGCTCACTCACGCTGTAGACGTTCTCGATCTTGGTAGCCACCTCCTTGTCCTGTACGAACAGGTTGTGGCCGCCGGGCACGTTCTTCATGATGTGCCGCTCGATCTTCTCGTTTTCCAGCACGGCCAGCCCGTTATCCACCAGGATGGGCGGCAGCGTGGCGTCAAAGTTGGACCTGTGGACACGGGGGGGGAGGGGGCGTCAAATTAAGCTGTCTGACCTGTGGACACAGGAAGCAGGAGTCCAGGTTGGACCTGCGGACCTGTAGCGCGGTGTCGGCTGGCGGGCACTGGTGGATTGATGGTCGAGCGTGGGAAAGTGTGTCGATGACGGCGGTATACGAGTGGAGATGACTGGTAACGGCTAAAGTAAGAATTTTTGAGGAGCACCTTTGATGAATTTATAAACCTGACTTCGTTAAACGCTCATATTGTTCAGGACTCATTGATATTTTTTAGCTGTTTTACTGTACAGTAAACCTAAATAAATCATTGGTGGACCAATTAAACATTTTTAGAACTTCTAATAACACTATTTTCCATTCCCAGCACGCACCATCGCTTCTCGGCCATTAAGCCTCGCTCCCCCCGAGAGCCGTCGCCCGTCAGCCCACTAACAGTGCAATAAGGCGATCGTGCGTATGCATTTCAGTGTTGAGCTCAGCCAACTTTGAACGGCCTTTTGTGCCAAATCATAGTATCCCCGCTCCACTTCCGGACTTCCTCAGACACCGCTCACCCCAGGCCAGTGACCCTTCTGACCCGTCGCGGGGGGGGGGGGGGGCAGCGGGCGTGCCATCCCTCCACAAGAGGCCGTTTTGCGCGCGGAACGGCTGACACATAATCAGCGACCCCATTCTCGGCCGAGCGAGCTCTGGAGACGCTCCACTCAGTGCGTGGGGGGGGGGGGGGAGGGATGAGCTCCGAGCTCTGAGCGGGAGAGCCGCTCCCGGCGAGAGCAGAGGCTCTGCTCAGGGGAGAGCCGCTCCCGGCGAGAGGAACCTCTGCCTCAGCAGAGCTCGGGTCGGGTGTCGCAGCTGGAGCCGTGACATCGCGGAAACCAGGGCATAAAAATCCGACAGATGGATCGCTGGAACCCAGCAGCCGCGACTTTGTGCTGCAAAACAGTAAATACCTCGCAGAGGCCTCCAGCCGGGTCAGGTCCAGAGTCCAGACGTCCCGGGAAAGAGTTATTCGCGCTAACACGAAGCAGCTCAACGTGACTATCGCAATAAACTACATCGAAGCTGGTAATAAAAACTGCTCAATGAAGAGTTGCATGACAACGGCCTACCGAAACCATACGTCTCCCCATTCCTCTCCCCCCCCCCCCGCCTCTCCCCGCCGTTTGAACCGAACACAACTGTGCGCAGCGGGCGGCGTTCGGTGTCCGATTTATTGGGCGCAATAGCGGCGGTCATATATATCGAGCAGCTGGCCGGCTGATCGCAGAGTATCGCCGCCAGCGCCGGCCCGGCTGCTCCATAGATAGCGCGCCCGTCTCCGGGGCCTGGTGTCGCCCCTCATCAGCCAGTTCCGGTGAGGCGCCCCGGTACGTCTCACCAATGAATGCAGAGAGGATTGACACGGGATAAATGTGGAATACCGCGAACGTACCGATTGGCATATGGCGACCCGGGTAGGACGATGTGGGTAGGATTCAAAGATGGGACTCGTGTCGCGTGGGGTTAAGATGGCGACGGAAGTGGTTGCGTTAGGAGTGTCACTGGCTGTGCATGGCAACTGGGTGTGAAGGGTGTGAAAATCGAACATTAATGAGCAAATGTGGGTAGGCACCTCAAAATTCACCCGCGCTGATATTGAAGATCGAGTGCTGCAGCCCACAAAGGATCAGGAGACACCTAGGATGAAATGAGGCAGTGAGACGGCAATGCTCTTCCGAATATCGATTCTGACTATAGAGTGCTAGGGCAGACAAAGGAATTGGAAATGCCTCGGAAGTAATAAGCCAGTGAAATGGTATAGCTGTCGGGAATTATTGTTGCATCGGCATGCCCCTACTGTTTCGAGCAAATCAGTTTTGAAACTGTTCCGAACCAAATAATAGATGAGATGGCGTGAAAATGGCAGGTGTGTGAAATAAAATTGATAGGAAAAAATGTGGAGACGAACCGAAACCATAAAACATAAACAGTGTTGTAGGAAGGAGTCGTAATCAAATTATGTCTTGCGTAGGTATATCAAATTTGACACATCCGCAAGCCACACGCGAGCGCGAAACGAGCGCCTCCCACTTCCATTGACCATCTCGCGGCATCATGGCATTCGCGACGATTCCATATGTGATTTGTACGCCATTTATTTGTCAGCCATTGCGCTGCTCGCGCAATAAATCAATGTCGTCTGCCTGCACTCATGTCGAGGAGCAGGACCAGCCCAACTCACAACTGCTAAAATTCGACACTACATAGGCGATAAACCACGCCACTCAATGCGACCTTTTCGTGGTCCGGTCCACTCCCCTGGGCCCGGTCCGACTCCATTCAGCACGCGGCTCTGCCGTATAAATGCAAAACCCATTATGTTCGGGTGACCTCTGACCTGAGGTAATGGCCTCTGACCCGACATAATGTTTTTTGCCTTTGCACGGCAGGGCTGCCGAGCGCTGTTTCTGCCGTCACCGGCGTAGAGGCTGGTGAATGCCCAGCACGTCTCAGCACGTCTCATAGCACGTGAGTGTTCAATGCGACTTGTGAAAGCTTTCACTGGCAATAGCGGCAGGCGACAGGGCCTAAACAGATGCTGATTGCATTTGTCGGAGCGCATTGTTCGGCACTTTTCAATGCGTAATATCTAAAATGATTGTAATTTCAGCAATAGGTGTACGTCCTCAAATGTCAAGTGTGAAGTCATAGACCACTAAATATCTGGTATATAGTCATGACTGGTCTATGGTGGAGTCTGGCCTGCTCTTTATGGGCTAGGCCCACTCGTTGAACCGTAAATGTCTGGATAACCGATATAACCGGTGTCTGTTCATAACAGTTCACTGGTGGCAGGGTATGCATGGCTTCAACTGAAACCAAAACAAAACACGAAGTGTGTGCCCAATGTCCATTGTGCGCAGATTACACAGGCCCCGAATAACAACCATTTAATCAAATCCTGACAGCCAAACGATGTCCATTGGGCAGATACCTAGTTTTAGTTGCATGCAATAATTGCATGAGATTGGCCGAGGCCGAATGGCAAAACAGACTTTTGAGTCAATCTGCACGCCGAGGACTGGCTAATGGTGTTGCATGGAATTCATGGTAAATATAGCATCTGACAACTTCGGACAAAATAACGGAATTCAGCAAGACGCATGATTCATTTCTTAACCCGGCAGGCGGTGGGCCTACCAGCCACCTTCCGCGCGGTGGGGGGGGGGGGGCACTTTTTGCCCCCCCCCCCGTATCTCCGAAACTACTGGACGGATCCGGAAAATTCAAACGGCGTTCGATAGCCCTGTCAAATTTGTCGAAGGAAACCAAATTTCATTGACCTCGGGGTCACCGATGACGTCACAGGTCAGGTCAAAGATAAAATGTTTCACCGCACACGGGGCCCTAGGGAAAGCGCTATAACACCGATTAAAACGCATTTTGTCGAAAATCAGCGATAAGGCGTCAGTTGTCTAGTACATATGTTGCTATTAGAGGTCACTGGTCATACCAGGTCAGGTCACAGGTCAGGTCACCAAAGGTCACCAAGGGTCACAACATGAGTCCAACTTTACTAAGGTTATGCGATGCATGTTTTATGGCCAGTTTTTCATTTCCAACTCAATGGTGTTGGTTATAAGACCATCAGGTACGGTTTAGGTCACTTTCTGGTGGAGGTCAGGTCAAGGTCAGGTCAAAAAAAGGTCAAATTTCAAAGTTGATATTTTTGCATAAAATGGGTATCGATTCGATGCAGCTCGTCACGGGGAGTCTAATGGTGGTCTTTGTTTTGCGCTACGAGGTCTAGAATTGCTAAAAATTGAGTTTGAAAATTTGACGTCATCAATTTTGAACAGTTTTTTCGCTATAACTTGGCCAAAAAAAGAGGTATCGATCTCAAATTTGGTATGTAGATAGAAGGCGGTAGGGGCTATCACATATATTCCGGTTTTTTCGAAATTCATAAAACTTTTTGGATTTTTGGCTATTATATTCAAAAAATCTATTTTTTGATTTTTTGGGGTCAAAATCCAAAAAATTCGAAAAACCGAAATAGCAGTTTTGTAGCCCTTTTCATTCCACACCTTTTATGTCTGAAACATTTTTCTGTATCTCTAAAGCTGTAGGCCTGACAGCTCTTCCCGCGAAACTTTTTTTGGGTCGAAAATGGCAAAAATGACGTCACTCTGACGTCATTAGCGGCCAACCTATCATAGCCTTTGGAAAAATTTTGGTCACCATGTGCGCTAGCTGCTCCCGGGAGGGTACTGAAAGTTTGGTGACGATCGGCGCAGTGGTTCTCGAGATATATCGAAAAAACTAAAGGGGGGGGGGCAAAAAAATGCCCCCCCCCCCCCCCCACCGCCTGGAAGGTTAAAGCAAAATATGACTTTCTTGTAAAATCTTCAGTGCATTATCTTTTGATGATTCCAGTCGAGCCGGAACAACGTTTTGGTACAGGGTCGTTCGTTTGCGTTGGCAGGCGTGATGGTTAGAGACTGACATTATTTGACTTCCCCTCATGGCATTGCTGCAAATACGAAATGCGAATAAATATCAACAACCCAACAACCGTCTACTAATTTACAATAAAGGAATAAAATGGGTACGCCAACGCAGTATTGCCATGACTGATGATCTGAGAAGTGGCAACTCCCTCACCCAGTAGGGAAATGTAATAATCTCGTACTCAGTGCTCTACAATCAAAGGCACGTTACTAAAGGTCAGTCATCTGAGAAATCCAGCATTGATGGCACGGGCTTTTGCAGGAAATGGAAACCACAGCGGTCTCCATAAAAGACCTCATAAAAAGACCATAGCACGCTGAGAACGGTTCGTCGATAACCGCTACTACCAGTGCCATCTAGCGACCTACAACGAAACTTCAGCTTGGCTGACCTGAAGTCAGGTGGCGGTTTGAGCATGTCGACGGTGGTGACTTTCAGCGAGATGGTCTTCAGTTCGGCGAGCAGGTAGAGGTCCATGAAGTACTCCTGGCAGAACAGACAGGCGCCCTTCCTTCGGCCGTCGATGGTAGACGCCTGTAGGACACGATTGTCACCGTTAGTAACGAGTGCCTGGTAACGACTGAGTTAGGTACAGATAAGTGAGAAAATAGGTACCGAAATGTGTCGTAGAAAATGAAATGTATTTTGTAGATACACGGAAAGCAGCAGCTGTCGATTATATGGCCTTCAGGAAAGCCAAAGTGTTATTCACACTAAGTGCATGATAGCACACAAGTGAATAATTCCAACAAGGATATTCATCCAAAATGGCAAAAATATTCAGTCAGCTAGAATATACACGATGGAAGGAATCCAGCAGCATCATAAGCGATTGATGTCGCACAAGACCACAGCACGGCACGCAAAAAGAGCCAGATGATCAATGAAAGACGTTCAACACGTGTACAATACGCACACATGATGCAAATATCAAGCATGCAGTGCCGTTCATATACATGCTAGAAACAACGAAAAATAACCGAGTCCATTTAATAAAAAAGTCCACAAATATGCAACTGTTTGGCATTTTAAAGCCAAATAAAATAAAACTTGGCTTTACAGTCGCAAACTTTAGACATATTGTATAGATAGTTCGAAGAACTCCGGTGTTGGAGCTAAATCGGCGTTAAAATAGCCGGTAGCTTGGCGCCGGAGGCTCGATGAAGTTTACGAGACGGCCTTGGTTCACGGCAAGACACCCTTTTGTCGGCCGGCGACTTCGATCCCCGTTCTGCCTTTGAAAGTGACAAAGCGAGCGAATAAGGGAGTGAGCAGGAGAGGAAGGGACAAGAGCAACGAGGACGAAGTGAGTGTACAGATGGGGGGGAGGGAGAGGTCGTAAGCCAGGTGATGTCTGCCGTAACACATAACAGTTATTGACTAAACGGATAAAAAATGCGGTATATCACTGGTTGGCGGGTGGCCTCTAACAAACAACGGTGGCAGTGGGCGATTTAGTATCTTCAGAGGCCAGAGAAAGCCTGACCATGCCTACAAAAAAGTGTATAGTTTACCAGTAACCTAAACAAACTGGCATCCCAATGGATTGAAGTCCACAGTACCAATTGGAATTCCGATTGCCATTATATAAATAGGTAAGTAAAAGCATATAGCCGCATTGGCTATGTTGATTTTTTTCATAAACCCTTCGATTTCCATTAGCTAAGCGAGCAATCAGCAGTGTGAATATAAATCACCAAATTTGTGACGCGGCGGGCCGTGGGGTGGATACAGCGTCCCACTGAGCCTCCAGACGGCATACCGACGACTAAAGAATAACGACTGTCCATTGCCGGCGGCTGATGACCCCCTCCCCCGGCCCGCGGCGTGGCGGCGGCCGGACGCAGCCCGTGTTGACTGATGACTGGCGGCCAGATAACCGCGCCGTACGTCGCTGGCAGCGTGGGGCCGGTAGTCGGGACTCCGACGTGTACTCAGTGTGGGCTGTGTTCGCGGCGTCTACCGGCGGCCGTTCGATAGATCACACGTGCGGCTAGCGAGACACGTGTGGTCACTGTGTGATGCGTGAGCTCCCGTGCGGTTCGTGATATACGTGTGGTCCGTGAAACAAGTGTGGTTCGTAAGTACGCTCGGTCCCTGTCAGACACGTAAGCTCTCCTTGAGCTCCGGAGCGGTCTGTGATATACGTGTGGGCCTCAAGACACGTGAAGATTCATTTGGTCTCCTTGAGGCCCGTGAGCTCCGGTGCGGCTTGTGAGACACGTGTAGCCTCCGTGAGACGCTCGGAGCGTGACAGGTGCGTTCCGCAGGGTCTCCGACAGGCAGACTCATCGAGACTCACCCACTGGGTGGGTATCAGTAGCATCGCATCGGCAGAGTTTAACAACTTTCAGTGGCCTCTTGAGCAGGGGTGAGAGGGGGTTAGAATAGGAGGTACTGACAACTCCAACTCGAGCCACACTCACACAACCCCAAGCTATATTTGCTACTCAGTCTATAGAAGCGCCATTATGACTGACAAGCTGCTGTGATATGGGAGATTCATGTGATGTCTGTAGCCAGAACCCAGCACCATACAACAGACTTTGAGCATTTGACCCTGGCAATTATACCTATACCTAACAATGGACACCTGCAGAAAATGCCTTATAATCATATCATGCCCATGCATTGTGCAATGAGTTAAACATTAACATGCATGTGTCTTGAGAAAAAGCAGAATAAGGAAACATAAAAATGTTGGTAGTTGGTACTTGATAAATACTTATTAAAATGATAGCTATGCCATGCAATACCTACAATGCAAGATTGCTGAAGCATTTATCAATCCTTAAAGATATCATGGGAAAAATATGTGACAGAATAATTGAAAATCAACAATATTTTCAAATAAAATGAAATAGGTACCATAGTCACCACTTACTGATTGTCCTCAATAATAGTTTTAACTGAAATTAAGATAATCGTAATTGTGAGCCCAAGCCATTGAGGCTTTGGTTATCTGCAGAAATGAAGTGGAATGGTCCTGAGAGGCTTTCTATAGTCTGGGTTCATAGAAACTATGCAGAGCAGTTTATTTAGCTGCCTTGAAAGATAGCCATTAACTGGTACATGCTTTGGATTGCCAAAAATATTTTTCAATTTATTAGTCCTGTCTTCCATGCCTGCATCAGATAGATATATAACTAATAACAACTAGGATCTTTTCTGCATCTATTTGGTGTTAGCAAGTTAAGGCAATAATAGTTTTCCAAGGTCCACTAATTCATTGTAGTGTGAATCATGGTAGATTCAGCCAGACCTGGGCCCTGTTTAAGCATGTCCACAGCCACCACAGCTTCCAGTAAAAAAGCAGGTCTTAGCTATCATCCAATCGGCCATCAGGATGGCAAGAACTGTCATTTCTGAGTCGCCTGAATGGCCAGCCAGCTAAGCCCCGCATTTTGTACTGTGGGAGCCATGGCGGCTGCAGAAACTTGAACAGGTCCCTGGCTGTAGCGTGCTGTGGCAGGGAGCCAGACTTGAGCAGGACTTGGCAGTCCAAAACCATACCAACTATAGAGGGCTGCGATAAAGACTCTGGGCCAAAACGAACTTGAGCCAAACCAAATTGCTGACTGGGTTCATCCAATCTATTGATTAGGTACTTTGCTGAAATCAGTATAAGCTCAGAAAATGTCAGTGATGTGATACCATTACATAAAATGGCCTTTAAACAAACAAGTTACCTTTATGATAAGTTCCACTTCTGGAACATTTCCAGCCTCATTTTCATTTTGACTCTGACCACCCACATCCGCCATGGCTGCAACTAAAAACTTATGGCAGCACAAGTGTTAACAGTCCTTGCAAAATGTTCACTTAGATCTTCGTGTAAAAATCAAAATACCGAAATTTCAACCAGCGCCTCTGAAATCCACTCTCGCAACACCCGCCGCCGCGCCCAAAAACTGCTTCGCGCCACTGCCAATAGATCGCCACTTTTGTCGATAAAGTAGTGACCTTGAACATGTGATAGCAAAAACTGTTCTAAATGTTTTGTGAGTCGTGCTGATGATGACGTTTAACCAATTAAGTCTTTCGCTAGCAGGAAGCTCTGGTATTTATTGGTTGTTGTGAAAGGATGTTCTTGATTGTAAGGTTAGTGAGCAGATATATCTTTCTACTCGAGAAAAGGAATATTTTTTTTTACAAAAATATGTGGGCTGAATCGCGAAAGGTAGGCCAACTGTGATGATATAATCGATTTTTTTGTTTAAATTGCAGGATGCATTGTGCATTTAAGGCAACTTGATATAGCTTTGTTGTGACTTCTTAGATGTGGTTTCTGGCATTTCACCACAATTCACAATCTGAATCCAAAAGCACTTCCCTTGTCCACAGACCTGACGGTGAGTTGTGAGGTGGCAGCAACTCTGATGAACCTTCTGAGTGGCTTCAAATGTGCATGCAAGCTACCACCATAAATTTAGGCATGCGCACACAATACACCTTGGTACCTTCTACTGGTTCCGTCCTGCTGTTTCAGTGCTATAAGTCTCGTAGTCCCTACCATATTTGTGACGTAAAGTCTTAATCGTTTTCCATTGATGTTGACATGTGTGATATTTTTTAGAATATGACCTGAGTTATATTTATTAATTTCAGAAGAACGTCTATTTGGGCTGATTGTGTTTTCTGCTTTGTTTGAAGTGTTGTTCTAAATATTTTAGGATTTTGAGTTTTATTCAAACCTTCAGGGACATATTCATGTAATCCACTACCTATTCAATGTTTTCTTTTTGGTCAGGCAGATAAACCTAATTGGAACCATAATCTCTCTTTATCATACCAGGTTAAAACTCAGACTATGTCATAGCTAAATATGTCAATCATTTGGTGCATATGACCTCATAAAGAACTTGTTCATGTGTGCTCTTGATTTTTCTCTATCATTGTTCTTGATTTGTGCAATGTTTTTTATTAGCAACATTGTATATTGTATATTGTATATATAGTATATTGTATTAGCAACAGTGACAGTACAAGAAGTCATCACTTTTAATTATTTCAGTGAATAGGAGATACCTACCTAGGTACCTACCTACTACATACACTCATTGTGTATGTAGTATATACACATACACATAACACATACATATATACACATAATATGCATGCACATACCTGCTACATACTCATTGTGGCAGTGGGTCAGTTCACAGTTTGTGTGTGAATGTTTTCATAAATTTTGAACAATTGATGTGGCCTCCGCCACCACTAGCAATGTCTCGTCACTACTGACACATTGGGAATAAACAACTGGGTCGTTTCTTTCTACATCTATTGTCAGCAGTGCGTGTGTGGCAGCAGAGAAGTTGGTAACGACCAACTGACCGTAAAAAACCTGTCAATCACACCAGACAGAAAACAATGTAAAATGTTGCCTGAGCGAGATTGCGCCACTCTGACTGCATAAATGCACACATACTTGTTCACACCAAGTGCAAGCAATATGAATAAATCTTAGTCAACTCAACATGATGTCTGAAACAAATACAAATACGTACGCATAATGCCAGGATTAAATCAGTTTTCCATTAACCAAGGGCGATTAGATTATACACAAACTTAAAGGGACCCTCCCACCTTAACATTAGTTTTGAGTTGAGATAGCCAAGTTTGCGGCCAGGCTCAGAAACCACCATTTATCCTGGTCGCAACCCCCGCAGCTTTATGGTGTTCAAGAAATTTCTTCCCTTTACTTGCAGGGTGGGACCAGCGTGGTCCCTATCTCTTAACCATTGTGGGAATCTGATGACGTCATCAGGCTTTCGAACGTCCGTTTAATGTTTGACTAAAACGTTTTGTAGCACGTGGTGGTATATGCTGCTTTGCGCGCAACAAATGCCGCACTTTCAAATAAAGTCGCTAGGAACAGCGGAGATCCCAAAAAGTAAACAAAAGTAAAAGTATAATATCTTGAAAACCGGTGAATATTTTTCGATGAAATTTGGTAGATATTCGTTTTTGCTCTTTCTGAACCGAGCGACATCACTTTCAAGCCAATTCATTAACTTTTTTGAAGGTGGGAGGGTCCCTTTAATCAGCGCACATGACTAGAAAAATAGGAACGTACTCTTTCCAGGTAGGTACGCCGAGCAACACAATGTCCAACTTTCTCCAGACGCGTTAGCAGTTCGGGTCACATGCAGCATTCACATGCGGGGGACCCTGCCAGGGGAAAAGGCATGGGTTAACGACACGTAGAACGCCGCAACATGGCTCCCCAAATTTGTGTAACACAAATTTCGTGCTATCTCACTCTTACAATCTAGAAACCAAAATTAATCAATAGGGGACTTCCCGAGATGCCAAGCTTATTTGGCCTTATGATCTAATGTAACAGCAAATATCGTCCGACGTCCGCACTCTGCGGCACACTGGCGTTTCACACGCTCGTCTCGTCTCCGTCACACCGCTAGATGTCGGAGCATCGACCGCACTAGTTCTATTACGGTCGCCGTACGCTGCTACGAGTACCACTAAGGTCACCGCTCGATCGGTGCCGTCGCCTTTCTCACACATGGCCGAACTTACACATTCGGCACTTGTCAGTTACTGGGAGTTCTTGCTCCCCGACTGGGAATCATCCCGGTCGCCAATCAGTAGAATCACACGATTCACTGGTCGATCGTAGTTCGTAGAACCGATCCGCACGCACACCTTGCGGACCAGGCCGTCTCCGCTCGGATACACACTGGTGATGCGGCCGAGCGGCCACCGCGAGCGCGGCTCGTCGTCGTCGATGACGGCGACGATGTCTCCAGGCTGCAGATTTGGGTACCGATGAACCCATTTCTGCCGCTCCTGCAGGGTCGGCAGGAACTCCCGTCTCCAGCGCCGCCAGAATTGGTCCGCCAGAAATTGGACACGCCTCCAGCGCTGACGCACGTAGAGATCGGATTGGGAGAAACTACCGGGATAAGGTACTGCTACTCTACTTTTCAGTGTTAGTATTTGATTGGGGCTGAGGGGCAGGAGCGTATCGTCCGACGCTCCGCTGAAGTACGAGATCGGACGACTGTTGACGATCGCCTCGCACTCCACCAGCAACGTCCGGAGTAGCTCGTCGTCCATCGTGTGGCCATGGGCCACGATGAGGGGAGTTAGAACTGACCTCACGCTCCTGATCATGCGCTCCCAAACTCCTCCCATGGCGCTTGCCTGTGGCACGTTGAATTTGAACTCGAACCAGTCACAATCTTTCTTGAGCAGCTCTCCTCTGATTCGGATGTGGTCGTCCTCCTTCAGCGCCTCCTCCAACATGTTCTTGCCTCCGACGAAGTTCGTCCCGTTGTCGCAGAACAGCTTCCGAACGGGACCCCTTCGACAGACGAGGCGCCGAAACGCGTTCAGGAAGGAATCTGCTGAGAGGGAACAGACGGTCTCAAGGTGGATGGCACGGGATGCCAGGCAGCTGAAGAGGATACCCCAGCGCTTCACTTGGCTCCTCCGCTCCTTGACATAGAAAGGTCCGAAACAATCGACCGCGCAATGGCTGAAAGGCTCCACCGGCTCAGTCCTCTCAAGTGGCAGATCCGCCATCTTCTGCATCCGTGGACTTCCGCGAAGTTTCTTGCACGTGACGCAGCCTAGAATGTAGCTGCTTACCGCGCGGCGACCACCAATGACCCAATATCCGGCCGCACGGAGCTCGTTGAGTGTCGTACCACGCCCACCGTGGCACGTGTTTTCGTGGCACGCCTTCACGATCAGCTCGGTCACGTGACTCTTTCTTGGGAGGATCACCGGGTGGGCAACCTCCTTTGACAGCGTGCTGTTCTTCATGCGCCCTCCGACACAAATCAGTCCGTCCTCTCGGAGGAACGGATCCAGTCTGTAGATCGGGCTTTTGCGTTTTATAAACTTGTCTCTGCCCGTGATTCTGTTCTTGGCTGCCTTCTCTTTGGCATTTTCTTCGCGTCCACATTCTTCGTAGTTTCCTTCTTGTTGCTGTGACGTCAGCAGGCTCAGCTCTTCTGTGAACGCTTCTTTCTGAACAGATTTCAAAATCGCTTGTTCTGCTCGCATCAGGTCGTCTACGGTCATTCGTTCGACCGGCACGTACGATCTGACGTCCGTCGTGCCTCGATTCTGACTTGGTTTGCTGGCCAAGATGGTCATATAACGCCGACACAAGGCTACCGACTTCTTTGCTCGGTGCCAACTGGAGAAGTAGCCGAGGCGCTTCGCGAGCGAGTGGTCTCCACTGGATATCGGGGGCACGTCGTCATCTTCACCGGATACAACTCTCTGTTCTTCGTCGAGCTCGCTATTTGGTTTGGTTGCATCCCCCTCACATTTTCCTTTGGCGTCACCTTCAGTGTCTCCTCGTTTCGCCTCCTGGGAGATCCTTCCCTCGTCGTCTTCACAGGACTTCAAGACCGTGGTCCGGTATGAAGAACGTTTCACTTCTGAATCGTCGTTTGGGACGATGAACTCCTGCTCTGTATCGGGGATGTTGACATCTGCTGTAAGCAGTTCTGGACCATGCCACCACAGGTTGCTGGTGAACAGTTCTCTCGCGCCGACTCCTCGGGAGGCTAAATCCGCTGGGTTGTTCTTTGACTCGATGTAATGCCACTGCCGAGGCTCTGTGTGCTGTCGGATGTATTGGATCCTGTTGGCTACAAACACGTGAAATCGCTTCGCGTCGTTGCGAATGTAGCCGAGAACTGCGCGGCTGTCAGACCAGAAGTATTCCTCATAGTCCCGGATTGACAGCTCGCTTCTGAGAAAGCAGCTTACTTGTACAGAAATAACGGCACCAACCAGCTCAAGTCTCGGGATGGTGACCGCTCTCACGGGTGTGACTCTGGACTTCGCCATTATCAGCGAGCTGGCGATCCTGTCGTCCTTGAAGACGGTCCTGAGGTACGAGCACTGGCCGCATCCATCGTAGCTCGCGTCCGAGAAGTGATGCACTTCGTACTTCTTCACTTCACTGAGCTCCTCTGAGACGAAGCAGCGGGGAACCTTGAGCATGGACAGCAGCTCAACGTCTTCCTTCCAACAACGCCACTCTTCCTCCATGTCCTCGGGAATTGTGTCGTCCCAGCTGTACTTGTCCACGCACAGGCGTTTGAGAATGTTCTTCGCCACGAGAGTGCATGGGCTGATAAATCCAAGGGGATCATAAATCGCGCTCACTGATGACAGAATACCCCTTCTCGTCGCTGGCTTGCTGGGAAAACTGACGTCGATACACAGCGAGTCTTCCTCGGTCTCCCACTTCAGGCCCAACACGCGTTCAAGAGGGAGAGGCGTCTCTCCGTCCAGTGCCAGCTGACAGCTCTTCGACAAACTGTACACCGGCAGTGCTTTCAAAACGTCTCTGTCGTTGGAGATGAACTTGTGGAGGTTGAATCCTCCCTTCGAACACAGACTCACCGCGTCCCGTATCAGTCGGACCGCGTCCTCCGATGTTTTGGTCGAAGCCACTCCATCGTCGATGTAGAAGTTCCTCTCCACAAAGGACGCAGCTTCGGGTGAGTACTCCTCTCCGTACATCTGAGCTGTCTTCTTAAGAGCAAAGAGTGCAACTGCTGGAGAGCTCGTAGCCCCGAAAAGGTGAGTGCACATTCGGTACTCTCGCGGCTGCTCGTCGAGATCTCCGTCGCTCCACCAGAGGAACCGGAGCAGGTCTCTGTGTTCAGGGTTGACGCGCACTTGGTTGAACATGCCTTCGATATCTCCACTGAACGCCACAGGGGCTTCCCTGAAACGCACGAGAATGCCAATGAGGCTGTTGTTTACATCTGGTCCCTGGAGAAGACGAGCGTTCAGGCAGTCATCCTTGCAGAGTGCGCTGCAGTCGAACACGACCCTCAGTTTTCCTTTCTTCTCATGGTACACACCGTGGTGTGGTACGTAGTTGACCATGCCGTCACGGTCTCTCTCCTCGTCCGGAACCGGTTCAGCGTATCCTTTCAGGAAGAGATCACTCATGAAGGCCGCGTAGTCAGTTCTCAGCTTGTCGTCTCGAAGGAGTCTTCTTTTCAGTTGGGCTAGTCTGGCTTCTGCGAGATCTCTGTTGTTTGGCATTGACTGGCCTTCTTTCAGCGGAAGGGGAGCTTCGAAGTGGCCTCCTTCTTCTTTGTGCATGCCCTCTGTCATGACCTTGACAAACTGTATGTCTTCTTGGGACATCGCCTTTTCTTGTCTCTGATCAAAGAAGCCACTGTCGAAGACCTGTTGAACCTCTCGCAAGCTGACATCCTTGACTCTGGTCCGGTAGGCAAAGTGACACAACTTCTTGCGCTCATCACCCGAGCCGACGTAGAAGCATCCCTTCGGTTCGCTCTTGCTGATGAGTCCTACTATACCCCAGCCCAGAAGAGTACGCACAGCCCAAGGATCGTCTTCTTCTCCTGGGATGACTTCCCTGGGCTTGATGATGCGCGGACAGTTGACGCCCAGAAGGAGTCCGATGTCCGCGTCAGATTGTGGCACGGGAATCTTGTCTGCCACTTGGTGAAGGTGCGTCCACTTGAGGCATGTTTCAGGTCTGGGTATCAGTGTGTGATCTGCTGGGATCTCCTGGCGTGAATACAGAGTGGGAAGGTCTACCTTCTCACCGTTCTCCAGGCTTTCGACGACGAGTCCTGACGTCGACATGCACTTCAGTATCTTGCGACCATTCATGGTGCTCAGCTCCAGCTCGACTTCGGTGGCTTCTGGATGAAGGGCGTCACAGAGAGCGTCAGTCACAAAACTCGCATCCGACTGCGGGTCGAGCAGTGCATACGTGACGACCTTACGCTCGGGCTGATCCTGGCGGTACAGCTTTACTGGAACAATCATTGTGTGACAGTGAGAGGTACTGCAGTCTTCGACGTTCTGGACCGTGGATCGCAGTGAAGACGCCTTTGCTTGCATTTCGCCTCTTGTGGGCTTGCTGTTCTCAGTCTCACTGTGACCGCGAGCGTTAGCGGTTTTGGCGAGCGCTTCGTCATGGAGGAGCGTTGGGTGCGCCTTGGAGCACTTATCGCACTTGTCTCTTCTCCGGCAATCGCGCCACATATGGCCTGGTTTCAAACATCCTCTGCAGAGTCTCTTCTTCAACACCTGCACCTTGCGGTCTTCGAGGCTCATGGCCATGAACTTCTTGCAGGCATGTACAGTGTGATCTTCACCGCAGATGATGCAAGGACGTCTGCTTCTTGTCGTGGTTTCTTTAGAAACTGAACGCTCCTCGGTTTTATGGCCGCACGCTCCACAGGGGTTGTCGGTGCTTGACGTGAAAGTATGCACCTTTCCTCTCGCCTGCTTCGGGTCTCTTGTGTGCAGACTCTCTTCCATTTGCACACTCACAGGTCCGCAGGCGATGCGTGCTTCCGTGGCCACCAGCTCCACGAAGTCTGTAAAAGTCGGGTAGCTCGGGGTAGCGCCGTAGACACGGGTGTCCACAAGCCGCTTCCATCTGTCAGTGACGTAGGCAGGGAGCTTCTTGAGCACCAGGTGAATGGTGTGCGGGTCGTCCAGAGCTCGCATGCCTGGGAGGGCAGCGGAGGCCATCAAACAGTGCTCCAATAAGTCTGCGAGTCGCTGGAGTCCTTTGCTGTCCCCCGATCTTACTATGGGCCATTCCCTCAGTCGATTCAAGTAGCTGCTAGCCACGAGGAAGTCGTTGCCGTACCGTGAGACGAGCTTCTCTTTGGCCTTGATATAGGCATCAGCTGTCCGTAGATGTAGGAACCCGGCGATAGCACTGTGGGCTTCACCATCGGTGTACCTGCTGAGGAAGTGTAAGCGTTCCACTGTACTTGAGGTCCGATGCTCCACGTACGTTTCGAACGCTCTCAGCCAGATCGGGAACTTGTCAACACTTCCGGTAAACACACCAGGTTCGATCATGGGCAGGCGGCCTTGCTTGCCCTGGTCTTTGAGGACGTTCACCAGACTCGCTAGCACTTCAGTGGCGGTTGATTCGCTGACCTCCTTTTGTACCTCTGGTTCTTCCTTGGTTCTTGCAGCATGAGACGCTTCTTCCTCACTAGGGGTCTCTCTTCTTGTCTCGCCCTTCGTAATAGGGTGCTCCGACTCGCTCATTCCTTCTTCCCTTTCGAACTTAAGCAGAGCTTCCTTCTTTGCTGTAAGTATGTCATGTTCGGTCTCCAATTCCAGCTCTCGCATTTTCCACTCCAGCTCCTGTCGCTGACGCTCGATCGCCAGTCGCTTCTTTGCTGCAGCAGTCCTGGCCTCCAGCTCTGCTCGCTTCTGGGCATCTTCAAGGTGCATTAGACTTATCTTCGCCCGAACGGAACTTCCTGAAGATTTGAGAGAGATCGATGGTTGTGCGTCTTGTGTCTTGTGGGTTGGCTCCAATCTCCCTTCCATCTCTTCCTTCATCGTGTTCATGTCATTCATGACATCTTGGTGCCTCATTGTACGCTCTTGTCGTTCGCCTTCTGAAAGGAGTACTAGCAGCTCACTGTTTGTTTGAACGAGACTGATGTAGGCTCTCTTCCATTGGATGTACGCTTCCTTGAGCGTCTCATCTTCTTCGCCTTCGTCAGAGCTCTTCAGACTCTTGATGATATCGACACCGGTTCTCTTCAACTCCTTCACACATCTCTGGTACTTCTTTTCCTTCGTGTCGATCTGGAACTGCCTCCCTTCTTCGGTGAGTGTGACGTGCCTCCCACTACGGGATGTGAGACGGTCAACTCCATCAGCAGGTTCGCCACCTTCTGCCATTTTGGTGACCTTGCTTTCAATCAGTGGGAGTTAGTGGATGACAGAGACAGTTTCGAACTACTGATGTCAAGAAGGATGATATGACAACGCACATGGGTCTGGAGACTGGAAGTCAACGTTTGTTAATGGGTTAGTTAATGGTCTAAGCTGCTGGCAAGAGGAAGAGTTTTTTACTGATGTGGCCTCCGCCACCACTAGCAATGTCTCGTCACTACTGACACATTGGGAATAAACAACTGGGTCGTTTCTTTCTACATCTATTGTCAGCAGTGCGTGTGTGGCAGCAGAGAAGTTGGTAACGACCAACTGACCGTAAAAAACCTGTCAATCACACCAGACAGAAAACAATGTAAAATGTTGCCTGAGCGAGATTGCGCCACTCTGACTGCATAAATGCACACATACTTGTTCACACCAAGTGCAAGCAATATGAATAAATCTTAGTCAACTCAACATGATGTCTGAAACAAATACAAATACGTACGCATAATGCCAGGATTAAATCAGTTTTCCATTAACCAAGGGCGATTAGATTATACACAAACTTAATCAGCGCACATGACTAGAAAAATAGGAACGTACTCTTTCCAGGTAGGTACGCCGAGCAACACAATGTCCAACTTTCTCCAGACGCGTTAGCAGTTCGGGTCACATGCAGCATTCACATGCGGGGGACCCTGCCAGGGGAAAAGGCATGGGTTAACGACACGTAGAACGCCGCAACAACAATATTTACTTTGGAATGAGTTTGCATGTCCTTAGTAGGGGAAGGGAATTATGGAGTCGTTTATTCAGATGGATATTTAATTTTACCTTGAGTTGAAAAGCCTGCATTTTGTAATAGGTACATCTTTAAAGAAAATCATGTAATACAGTGAATAAAATGCATTGTGACATCTATGGATAAATCAGCCCACTGAGGCATATTAACATTTTGCAATGTTGTTTTGCAAGAATATTTTTTAGTCTCATTAACAATGTTCACAACTCATATTACATAGGTACTTATGTTAATTCTGCTAATGTGAAAGCATTCATTGCTCCACAGTGCTGACATGGTATTTTGCCATTTGTCTGTTTCAGCTCGCTTTCTCCTGAATCTCAACACCATGCCCTCTCATCAGTGACTAGTGAGGGACTGCAGAAGTTTTCGGCTGTGGCTCATCCAGTCTTCACCGGATCTAGCCACCAAGGCATCCTTCGGTGAGGCGGCGTCGCTAGTGCGCGCGCGGCTGCGTCCGGCCTTCGGTCGTCGCCATGGACGTGCCGCCCGACCGCCAGGTAGCCGACTACTTCATCCACTGCGGGCTGCCCGAGCAGCTGTGTGAGCTGGACGCGCCGCTCGAGGACTTTCCGCTCAAACCGTCCCACAACTATGCGCCGATCACGGACGTGGCCGTCATCTTTCCGTCCGAGGAGCCGGTGCCGTCCGGCTACCGGTGCATCGAGAAGACGCCCACAGGTCGGTGGCCGCGCTATGGGGCCGCGGGACCGGGGGAGAATGGCAGAGGGTAGGGTGCATTATGGGGAAGGCTGATACATTTTGGTGATGAACGGCTGGCTGTTTAACGTGACCTACCACGTTTTTATTCTGGGCCAGATGTCAGAAGGGTAAAAAGAAAAGGGCTACGTTTTTGCAGGGGTTTGACATTTCACGGGTATGAGATAGCCTGGCTTACGACCATAACTGGCTAGCCTCGGAATGCAGCGGGATGTCATCTTGTCTGCATAATGTACATTTATGTGCCATCACTGAGCACATGTGTTCCGTCTGCCGACATCTGGTCGTGAGTCAGGGGGCGGCTCTGCAGCTCACGTGCCTGTGTTTACGTTTGACAGCGTGTGTTCGTGTCGCCAGGTCTGTCGGCCGACCTGAACCACGGCAGCATCCGCAGTCCCGAGGTGCTGCTCTGCTACAAACGCGGCTGGGACAAACCGCCGCTCGTGGACATCGGGTTAGTTTCTTAGCCGGGGTGAGCGCGTGACCCTGAGTACACACAAGTCACAAATAGACACAAATGTACAAGCGTGACATGTTAGAATAGTATGCTTGTCGCTAGTTTTACCGGCAAAGAGATACATGCCTTGCTTTGTCGGAACCCGTCAGCGGCCGGCCTGTTGGAGCGTTTGATTAATCGATATCGCCGGCTCTGTTCTGTTTTTGCGTCGTGAGCTGACGCACCGCTCCCGGCTGACCTCGGAAACGCAATAGACACGGCGCTTCGCTGTCGCGTTGATACCTTTCAATCGCCTGCAGCTGAGACAAGTCACGCGGTTCGTCTGGAAATTCGATACCGTCAGTCATGTCGTCACTGACGTGATCTGTCTCAATCGGAGCTCGGTCACACACCCTGGCAGCCGGCCGGGACGGCTATCTCCGGGCTGACCGAGCGGCGGTGGGGTCTGACATGTTGCCGCCCCGACACTGCACGTTTTCCTGCGGCATGACTCCGGGATCGGCCGCTTTCTCCCGCGTCCGGCGTGCTCGGCCCGCTCGTTTTTCCACGCTGTGTCGTGCGGCCGCCGGACCGCCCAGCTGGCCGGGTGTTTGGTAACGTGTGGTAGCGTTGCCCGGAGACGGCGCCGACAGGATCCGAGTTTCCTGACGGCATTATCTACCGCTGCAGACGACCGGCCATCACCCGAGGCCGCCGCTGTTTAGATAACAGTAATTTGACTCGGGCTCGTGCCGAGTTGATACGGCCGAGTGGGCGGCCCCAGCCGGCCGCGCCGGGCGGGAGCTCGGCGGATGCGCCGCGTTTCGGGGCCTGATTGTATAATTCGGTCGGATGAGCCGCGCGGCGGCGGCGGCTGCCGTTTGACGTCCGGCTCCCGCGGGCCCCGGGGGTCAGATTGGATTGGCCCTCCCCGCCGGTGGACACCCACAGTCCACACTCGCTGCTCCCGTGGTCTGGTGGGTCTGATGGGGTAACCGCCGCGCTGTGGACACCCACACTCTCTAGGTCTATTGTAGGCCCACACTCTCTAGGTCTATTGTAGGAGACGCCTGCGGGAAAAGTCCGATCTCACAACGAGACCGTTTGAACTTGTGGGTCGCGACTACGAATTGAAAGGAATCAATTCACTCAGAAATCTCGCTACTATTAATTGACATTAATTAAGTGTTGCGTAGGTACTTTTTTATTCTTCAGCGTATTTTAGCACCCCTCGCCGATAAAATATTCGCAATCGTCGTCTTCCGTCACGCTGATTTCCTGGTTAAACGTGTCAGCCTTTTTTGTGGATGTTTGATAGGCTTTTTGCTTAGCGCCGGCTTCCATTCATTAATTTTGGCAGTAACCTAGTCGTAAACCATCGTTATTTGGGCACCTTGTCCTTGAGAGGGCTGAACTCCGATTGACTCATTCCCTGCGACAGAACCCGGACGTTTCTATTTTTACCCCATATTTCCCCCTTTGTGCCTCCTCTATCTCCTTCCTCGATCACCCCTTCCTTCCCCCGGCAGTGCGCGTCTCACCGTTTCTCTCTCCCCTCAGCGTGCTGTACGATGGCAAGGAGTACGTGATGCCCGACTCGCAGGTGGTCGAGTTCACTCCCACCGGCCGGATAGCCAACGTGAACAACAGCACTGCGCGCACGTACATCACGTACAGACGTGCGTCCGACTCCTCGCCCTGCAACGAGCTGGTCGTCACAGACATTTGCGTCATCGTTCTCACAAAGGATGAGGTGAGACGGGAACGGGTGAGCAGGGTTAGAAGTGGCGAGGTGAGAGAGCCGCGTGGGTGAATGTCAGGAAAAGAGAGGAAGTGTAGCTAAATGTACAAAGCTGTGGCGTTTGTTATGATCGCCGAAAGAGGATAAAATGTATGTGAGACAAGACGCAATGTTAATCAACGAAACCGCTGCGTTAACGGAAGGTAATGGGTTGTGAATACCACAATAGTCGTGTCCATAAACGGTGGACAGTGGGGATTAGATGAGACATATATTTTTTAAACTTATAATGGTACAAGAGGCCGGTAAGCCCGCTTGTAGTGATATGAAAGATTCTCTTATGTTTTCAAGTGGAATGTAGAGAGGGATCATCATTCTGACAAGTACCGTCAACATGTGGTGCGTGTGAGGTCACTATTGCCCTACCGCTGTGCCTGAGAGTATCAAGTCGGCTGTCGCGGCAGAGATAAGGAATTGAGTGAGTTAGCCGCTCCGTTATCCGCCCCCGCTGCCGTGCTCCCTTCCTGTTGACTCCATGTATCAGCCCGGTGACGCGCAGTCAGTGATCCGCCTCGTTTATCTAATAATGCCCACAATGGGTCGGCGCCGCACGCCGGCCCATGTCTGCCGGATCGTGACTGACATGTCTCTCTCCTGAGTCGGTGTAGTGACTGTATTACCGTCCCTCCAGGTACCGCCGCATACCTACTGTATCATACCGAAGACCCTCAACAAGGGCATGGTCGGATCCGACGTCTACATCTGCTATAAAAAGTCGATGCGACAACCGACGCGGGTCGTCTACAAGCCAGGTGCGCCGTCTGTTGTGTCGATTTTTCCTTTGATATATTTTTTGTTGACGATTTATTTCTGAATGTCATTCGGGAACGTAATGTTTTATCGTCTTTCTTGGAACACAGCAACCTTCATATGTTCTATCACCTCTTCCGTCGTACTATTTAATTCCGCACACGAGTGGTCTGTGCCTGCTCTGACCGCTGCCTCCGTCTCCCTCAGGTCTGCTGGGCCGGTTCCCGCTGGAGGACCGTCCCTACTTCCCGCTGCCCGAGTCAGTGCCCATGTTCTGCTTGCCCATGGGCGCCACAGTCGAATGCTGGCCCTCGCAGGCCGCCACGCCCAAACCCGTCTTCTCGACGTTCGTTTTTACCGTGGCAGACGGCGCAGAGAAGGTGAGAACGCCGCCGCCGGGCTGGATTGGGCGAAATTGAGTTTCGACGAGTGGTGATTGCCTGTGCGGCTGACGGCTGTCTGCCGAGCGGCAGTTATTGGCTCGTTGTTTATTTGGTGGACTGGTCGGCTGTAGTTCAGGTCAGTCGGGCGTGCGGTGCTGGCGCCGATAATTTCGATGTGTCACGAAAATTTTGATTAAAATGATTGAACGAGTGAACCCTGAACGCGGTGGTGGAATATTGAATGTCATTATGTCTCCATCCAAAGTTGAAACAGAAATAATGAGGCAGTTTTGCCAGTTCTTCACAATTCTAAATTTCGCCTATGGTTTCCAAACAATTCAATTATTCCAGCTAGCCCGCGTTCCCAAGGCTCCGTGGCGGCATCGGTTTCGGATGGCACTTCCTGGTGTGTATCGAGTTATCACCCACCCCGCGCGGTGTCGTGTACTGGCCGACGGCGCTCTCCGCTTACCGTGGGGCCTGTAGTAAAACCCGTCTGATAGAGGTGTGACCGATAGCCGCCCCTCGCCGGGGCGGGGCCGTCTGAGCGATATCAGCCGCGGGGGCAGCACTCGGGCCCGGTTCCACTCATCGTTCAACAACGTGCCGATAGATAATGGGATGGTTATCGGAGGTATTTTACCACACGTTTTAGTGTAGTGTTGATGTTACGCTACGTCATGCAGTATGACATATTGATAACTCGTTGCCGGTGGAAACGGGATGCTTGTGTTTCTATTACAGTTTGTGTCACCAGTGGCTTTTTTATTAATTTACCGATTCTATTGAGTAGAAGCTAGATTGTTTCGTTTTGCTTCAATGATGGTGTCCGTGTCGCTCTGAATATCAACGGTTTTGTTTGTTCTCCAGCCATTTCCGTAAAGCGGTCGCCTGCAGTATGCCACTCTCGATGTGTGAGCCGCCTGTTCGGCTAGTCCACTCCCAGTGACTCTGTACCCCTCCGCGCCAGGTGTACGGCAGCTCCATCACGTTCTACGAGCGTTACCCGGACTCTGGTGGCACCGTACCCCAGTGACTCTGTGGTGACTCTGTACCCCTCCGCGGCAGGTGTACGGCAGCTCCATCACGTTCTACGAGCGTTACCCGGACTCTCGTCTGACGGAGCAGCAGCGCCTCCAGTTGGGCATCGACACCCACCATCCCTCCGAGATCTCCGTCAACGCCAACAAGTCGATCGGCGTGCTGTCCCACTGGCCCTTCTTCGACACGTTCGAGAAGTTCCTGCAGTTTCTGCACCAGACGGCCATCTCGGGCAGGCCCACATCCGTGCCGCTCGAGAGGTGAGAAGAAGGGAGAGTGCGGACCGTGGGGAGAGGGAGGGAGCGATGCAGCTGGGAGTGGGTGGGGAGAGGGGAGAGTGGAGTGGACAGAGGAGGAGACACCGAGGAGAGGGAAGACCGAACACTCCATATGAACACTCACTTACACGGAAAACAGTTATTTGACACCAGCAATGTGTATGTAAATACGGTAAGGCCCTCTGTCGTCACCTCCCACCGTCTCGCCTCTCACCGTCTCACCTCCCACCGTCTCACCTCTCACCGTCTCACATACGCCCGCCTCTTCCCCGTCCAGGTACATCAGCCACATCCTGCTGGAGGTGCCGTTCCCCTCCGTGGCTCGGCCGTACGTGCACGTGCAGCTGGACGGCGGCGCGCCGATCGTGGTCGCCCAGCCGTACTTCTCTCCGCTGCCCCAGAGCGGCGCCAGCTTCTGTAAGCTGCTGAAGAACCTGGGCCCGGACAACAGTCTGCTGGTGCTGCTGTTCACGCTGACGGAGCAGAAGCTGCTGCTGCACAGCCTGCGGCCCGACGTACTCACCAGGGTGGCCGAGGCCGTCTCCATGGTAAGGGGGGGGTACCCCCTCAGAGGCCGTCTCCATGGTAAGGAAGGAGTACACTAAGAGGCTGTCTCCATGGTAAGGGGGTACCCTCAGAGGCCGTCTCCATGGTAATCAGATGGCTGGGGTTGTGATGGTCTATTCTGATCAGCGTGTGGAAATTGGGGATGATGTTATTTTTAGCTAGTACCGAAGCATAGGATGGATCTACATTCTACCGGGTGATCTTTGTCGAGTCTCATGGGTTTATCGATGAATATTGCCCGTTCCGATTTAAGGGGCATCTCGTGGCGCTGCCTGATTCATATGTTTGTTTGTGTAGGACGGTCATCACTTACCGGTTTTATCAATTCGCAGATGATCTTACCGTGCCTGTGGCAGTGTCCGTACATCCCGCTGTGTTCGCAGATGAAGTGTCCGTACATCCCGCTGTGTTGTGTTCGCAGATGATCTTCCCGTGCCTGTGGCAGTGTCCGTAGACCGTACATCCCGCTGTGTTCTGTTTGCAGATGATCTTCCCGTGCCTGTGGCCGTGATGTCCGTTCATCCCGTTGTGTTCTGTTTGCAGATGATCTTCCCGTGCCTGTGGCAGTGTCCGTACATCCCGTTGTGTTCTGTTTGCAGATGATCTATCTTCCCGTGCCTGTGGCAGTGTCCGTACACCCCGCTGTGTTCTGTTCGCAGATGATCTTCCCGTGCCTGTGGCAGTGTCCGTACATCCCGCTGTGTCCGCTGGGTCTGGCCGACATCCTGTCTGCGCCGGTACCGTTTCTGGTCGGTCTCGACAGTCGGTATTTCGACATGTACGACCCGCCGCCGGAGGTCACCTGTGTCGACCTCGACACCAACACCATCTTCGTGTAAGTGCTCCTTACGGCGGCGCGTGCAAGATATTGTGCTTTGCTTTTACACCCGGCTCTTTCATCCCATGCATGTTGGGGCAAGCATTGGCTATCGTGTGGTGCAAGAAAATTGACCGGGATGCGTTTAGGGATGGTCGTAAAAAAAGATTCCTGTTAGTTTTTCACTTCATTCAGACCTGAGTCTAACCAAGGTTAACCATCTCGCAGTTGGTTAATAATTTTCTCTACTTTTACCAGCTGTTTAGCTAATGCCGGTATGTATTTTTTACCTAGAGCTTGTTAAATGGTGACTTGATCTCGTGAGTGCAAGGTCCGTGGCTGTCCCGGTGCTCTGTGACCGCGCCTGACCCGTTCCTTACCGACCGTACGCTCACAGGGCGGAGGAGAAGCGGCACCTGGTCACCAAGCTGTTGCCGAAGAAGGCCTGCAAGCAGCTGCGCCATTCGCTAGAAGCCGTGTTCGACCGGCTCTACTCCATGTCCAGGAAAAGGGTGAGATACGTGAAGTTTTATGATGGCTGAGTGGCTCAGTTGTGGCATCAGTTTTGTTTTGATATCAGGAATCTGGTCTCAGTTCGAGTTCTGGCCCGTCTGGGATTCATATTCCAGTATATTTTCGTTAGCTGCTGATTCGTATCGTGCCGTTCTGACCTGGTATAACCCCCCCCCCCCGCGGTCAGGTGAAGGGAGGCAGTCCGGAGATGGACCTGCGGGTGCAGAGGATGGAACACCAGCTCGAGATCGAGATCCAGGAGGCATTCCTCAGGTGGGCTCCCGCACAAGGCGGCACTGTGACTGTACAATGGTCGTTTCAAAACACACACAAAAAATCCAAGAAAGAGCCTTGGCATCTGCCTTCTATGTGCAACTCGTAATGGATATGCAGTTTTGAGACGGTCTTTACTACTTTTCCCATCACCTTAGCACCATCCTTTTCTGTCTGAGCTATGATCACCCGCCGTAACTGATATTCCCTCTTTATGGCAGGTTCATGGCCACGATTCTGCGCGGCTACCAGGCGTACCTGAAGCCGATCAAGTCCAAGCCCACCACCGGCACCACCGACCCCAGCTCACTCTTCAACCTCGACGGTAACGGACGGACGGGATGTGAACAATTACTCCCAGGGACTCGTTGATGACCCACTGGAAACAAAGTGGGCTGTGGGAAACTTCCGGGCAGCTTCCTCAAGTCACGGGACAAGGCGTACCAGTAGTCTATAATTGGTAGTTCTAACCCCCGGCCGTTACCGTTGGCAGGTTTCCTCAAGTCTCGGGACAAGGCGTACCAGTAGTCTATAATTGGTAGTTCTAACCCCCGGCCGTTACCGTTGGCAGGTTTCCTCAAGTCTCGGGACAAGGCGTACCAGCCGTTCTACCAGATGCTGACGACGACGCAGTCGTTCATCAGGTTTATCGAGGAGCGCAGCTTTGTCTCCGACAAGGACGCCTACCACGTCTTCTTTGACGAGTGTCTCGCCAAGGTGAGTGGCTGGCGCCCTCTCAAGGAGAAAGGCCACAAAGGTCCGCACATGCCTTTCTGCTGTACTTTGCGTGAGATCGGCATAGAACGTTGCTGTTTCAAATGCTTGAGCTCAGGTAGTTCATATTCATCCTCCGGATGTGATTTCCGACGTGTCTTTGTAATTGTTTTATTGAAAATGAAATTTTTGTCAATGTATATTACCTTTCTGCTGTTATTTTTTTCTTTTATTGTGCGAATAATTTGTCATACATATATTCTGGTATCGCTCGGTCGCCGTATCTTTCAGACTGAACCTGTTAAATGCTACGCTGACCTGCCTCCCCTGGATGTTTTAGGACCTGGACTCTCCTGACTGCCGTCTTCTGGAGTCGGAGACCCCTCAGAGCGAGAGGACCGTGTTCGTACCGCCCCCGGAACAGATGGAGGGCAGGCAGTTCGTCTACCACGTAAGTTCGTGTGCTTATAATCGGACATTGTGATCTGAATGGACTCTGATTTCACTATGTAGGCTTATTTCGACGAATGATGTAATTACCACGTTTGAACTTTGAAGTAAAGTAAAATGAGTGGGAAAACTTAGGTATTCCCCATCGACACATGGTAAACAAGATTCTATGCGAATGTCGTTAACATGGTCAGCCATTTGTAACGGACCCCTTCCCAGTCTGTGGTCATTCGCCCAACCCAATCCTCTATCACACTGACCTGAACCCCTCCCCCTCGGCAGGAGTTTGGAGAGTTATTTCTTCCTAAACTCACTGACTCCCCCCCCCCCCTCCCTCGGCAGGAGTTTGGAGAGCTGCACCGGGAGCTGTTTTTAGCGCGCGCCACCTCGCTGCAGGCTCTGCCGCGGCCGCTGCCGGCCGTCGGCTCGGCCGCGCAGCTGGCCGGCCTGGCGGCCTCGGGCGCGGCGGCGCCCTCTCCGCTGGTGCGCCGCACCAAACACGAGGTCATGTCGGCCCGCAAACAGGCGCTCAAACAGGCCGAGACGCCGGCCCTGTGGGCCCGCTACCTGGTCGGAACGTGCTTCAGGTGAGCCGGACGAGAGGGCGGCGTGGGGACTGGAAGGGATGGCTGAGTGAGGAGAGAGGTGGGGTGCTGAGAGGCTGAGGCGTGAGGTTTTGGTGAATACAGTAAGCTCACTGGGAGTGTCGAAGTCGGTCTGAAGTGTTAAATAGACAAGCCTATCAGGGGCTGAACGCCTTGAAAGGTGGGCTAAGCCGGGGCCTATGATCTAAATGTCTCGAGCCTTGCCGCCGCGACTGAGCCGTTTGCAGGATGTGTACGAAGACTAACCTCCTCATGCCGTGTGTCTGTGCTGCAGCCTGTGGTTCGTCCACCTGCCCAGCTACGTGGAGGTGTGTGACAACAGCAAGGCAGCCATGGACGAGGCCTTCCAGATCATGGTGGTCATGCAGAAAATACTCAACCAGAGCGTCGACGAGGTGGGTCGGCATCAGACACAAACCTGGTATTTGGTAACCGGGGATACGGAGAGGAAAATAATCGGACTTTAATGGGCATGCTGAAGCGAGATTTTAAGCATGGCATTGTTGTAGGGCGATATGTCCTGAATATAACCGAGCTGTGTATACACCCGTTTTTCACACTTGCTACCGTATGATAATACAGCTGTGTGCTGTGTGATGTGTGCTGTCGGATACTGACGCCGTTGTGTGCTCTGTGTTACACACAGGTGTGCTACCGTGTGATGATGCAGCTGTGCGGCCAGCACCAGCTGCCTGTGCTGGCTGTCAAGGTGCTGTACAAGATGAAACAGCTGGGCATCCACCCGAACGCGCTCACCTACGGCTACTACAACAAGGCGGTGCTGGAGTCGGAGTGGCCCACCGACACCATCGCCATGGGACGCCTGCTCTGGAGCAAACTCAGGTACGGGCGGGCATCTGGAGCAAACTCATATACGAGCGGGTATCTGGAGCAAACTCAGGTAGGAGCGGGCATCTGGAGCAAACTCAGATACGAGCGGGCATCTGGAGCAAACTCAGGTACGGGCGGTCCCTCATAGACAAACTCAGACGCTGCAGCTGCTAGGGAGACTGGTCCAGAGTGAATTCAGGTGTGCAGACTGCCGCCAGCTCTGAAGCAGAGCAAATCCAGGTACGCATGGTCCTCTGGAACAAACTCAGTTACAGCTGCAATGCGATCGGAGAGCCTTACTGTCTCCCCCTCTATGTCACCGGCTGCGTCTGACTGAGCCCCTCTCTATATCCCCACAGGAACGTGGTACTAGCGGCGGCCGAGTTCCGGGCCGGTCCGCGCCGCTCCGACAGAAAGGGCTCCTCGTCCCAGCTGGGTAGCGGCGACCCGGCCGCCTCCAGCCAGTCGCTCGGACACACCATGCTAGGTACGGTTCACGGGTACGGTATACGGCGGCGACCCGGCCGCCTCCAGCCAGTCGCTCGGACACACCATGCTAGGTACGGTTCACGGGTACGGTATACGGCGGCGACCCGGCCGCCTCCAGCCAGTCGCTCGGACACACCATGCTAGGTATGTGATACAGCGGCGACTTAGTCGCTGTGTCTACAGGGGGAATCTGCGCTTCGTGCTTTCCGCTCGACCCAGTCCTCTATAGTACCCCTGCCCCGTCTGTCTCTGATCATCTGCGCTTTTCTGTATCTGTCTCCAGAGGCAGACCGTGCGTCGTGCTCCTCGCTGGGCAGCCAGTCGCTCGGCACAGTCCTCTGTACCCTCACCTGCCACTGATTGTGACCCCTCTGTGTTCACAGAGGCTGACCGTGCGTCGTGCTCCTCGCTGGGCAGCAGCCGCTCGGCACAGTCCTCCCGGCCAGACGGACGAGCCGGTGAGTTAAGTTACCATCACAACTAGAGTGCGGTGGACTCCAGCGTAATGTGCTGTTTTATCGGTTTATTTGAAAATTGCTATGTGATTCACGTGACACGTAGTCTTAATTTTTACGGAGCGAGCGAAGCGAGCGTAGTCTTTCCTTAGATTAACGGAAATTTCTGAGTATGAGCGGGCCGGCCGGCCGTGGTCACGCTTTTGCGAGGCTTATATCTCAGCAACCACTTGACCGATTTACATGCGGTAATTTTTGTGGGATAGCTTCATTCCTTCTACCAAGTATTGGACTATTCCCGATGCATGTGGGTGACCCCTTATGCACGTGCCACGTGCAAAACGAAGAGGTGTCCGTTTTGTAATTGTTGCAATATCTCGGTAACTACTTGGCCGATTGCGCTGAAAGTTGGCATGTAGGTAGGCACCCACTAGGCACTGCATATCCATGTGCCAGAGTTGGGGGCGCTGCTGCACGTGCGCACGTGCAGGGGTCGATTCCAGATCTCGAGAACGGCTGGACCGATGGCGCTCAAATTTGGCACATGGTTAGGGACCGGTTAGTAGGGTGCCGTGCAAAAGTCAGTTGGGCCCCATTTTGCACGTGCGCACGTGCAGGGTGCCGCTTCCAGATCTCGAGAACGGCTGGGCCGATTGTGCTCAAATTTGGCACATCGCTAGAGACCGGTTAGTAGGGTGCCGTGCACAAGTCAGTTGGAGGTACCCCCTCGCAATTTCGCACGTGCAAGGGCCACCCTCTCGCTCGCTCCGTTAGTCGCCCCAAAAGGCGTTATACTGGTACGTAACGAAAACAGTTTTTTCATTTGACCCGGTATCAGGCGGAGCCTCAGTGCCGAGTGATCCTTCCTCGCCCCTCCTGATCTGACCTCCCTCCCTCGTCTCCAGCGCGTCCGTCAGTGGCGCGCGCGCTCAACTTTGGCCGGCTGGACTTCTCCGAGTCGGACCGTTTCCGATCGCGGGTGGGCAGCATCGTCAAGACGTCCGGATCACGGATACCCGGCTCGCCGCAAGTGACCAACTGTGAGTGGGGGAAGAGGGTGGCGGAGTGGGGAGGGCGACCGTGACACCAGCACAACTGTGGGACCGAGTGGGTAGGGATAGTGAAGCGTAGAATGCTACGGTCATTTTTAATTTTTACGGAAAAGGTTGATTGCTACTCTTTGTGTATTGCGATTTTTGTTGACAATTGTTTTTTTGTCATTACCGTTTCTTTGGCATTTTGAAGCTGACATCATATGTAAATATCATTCGTATCAAATGTCACACTGGAGACATTCTGACAACCTTGGCCTTATTGGCGTTATGGCCCCCTCAGACGACAGCTCAGCGGGCGTTCTGATGGTCTCCCCCCCCCCCAGATGACAGCTCTGTCGGCGTTCTGATGGTCTCCCCCCTCCTCAGACGACAGCTCTGCCGGCGTGCTGATGGTCTCCCCCCCCCCTCAGACGACAGCTCGGCCGGCGTTCTGATGGTCTCCTGCCCTGAGGACGCGCCCTCCGCCGGCCCGCTGAGCGGCGGCAGCAGTGCGGGCGGCTCGGCGGCACCGGCCTCCGCCCGCCACCCCCTGGACTCGCCACACCAGGAGGAGTTGCGGGCCAGACACCTGAGCTGCAGCGAGACGCCCGAGCACCAGCAGATCTCACTGCTACGGTGAGAGAGACGTCCACACCCTGATTTTCATCTGTGTATGCGGTTAGAGGCTAATGTTTAGCTGCTAGATATGTGGTCTATAATATTAGAGAGATGCTAAGAGAGGCTGGGGATACCACGACGCTGATATGAGGTTTGACGCAAGGTCTCGAGGCTCAAGCTACTTGTTACGAATTCCAACGAACTGACTGTTTTGTCCTCCATTTTTCTCTGTGCGTTTTAGGTCGACCAGTTTCGCGGGCGATGACCAGATTCTGGCCTGTCTCCGTGAGATGGGCCACGACAGTCTGGACTCGGCCGTCGCTGCTGCTGCCGCCGGCGTCCCGGCTGGTGCTGGGGACCCCGGCGCTGCCCCCGGCCCCGGCCCCGGCGGGGGTGTATCGGCAGCCTCCACCCCTCCCCCGGCCGCTCCGCCCGCCGTCCGCTCTCGCTCAGCCAGTCAGGACATCAGTTTGGAGGAGCGCATCAACGAATACTACAGCGGCGAGGGCGACCGGCGGCGCAGCGACAGCCGGGAGCGCAGCGCTGACACGCGCAGTGTGGACAGTCTGGAGCTGCCCACCGACCCGCTGGGGGTGTGCGGCCTGCAGGCGCGCACCCCGGTCACAGAGAACGACCCGCTGGGGGCGCTGGGCCTGTCAGAGAGCCCGACCCGCACGCCGCCGGCGGCCGGCCGGCTGTCCGCCTCGCTCTCCCAGGCGTCCAGCTACCAGAGCAGAAAGGCCAGTCTTTTCAAGGTGAGTGAGGGCTAGAGATAGGCTTCGGACTAATGTGATGTGAATGGAGGGTGGTTGTCACAGGGGAGGCTGAGGCAGGCGGCGGACTTTCGAGTTTGTGTATGCCGAGTGAACGAATGATGGAAATGTGTTGTTAGAAAGTCACTTCTTTGAATAATATCCCATCTCATTCGCCCTCTCTACTCGCCCCACATCTGACCCCCATCTGACCTGTCCATGTTGGTTCCCTTAGGCGGAGCCGTTCTCGGACGGGTTCGACCGGCCGGGCGACCAGGTCGAGAAGAACGGCAAACTGCCCAGCCCGGGCTCCGGGTCGGCGCTGGCCGGCTTCCGACTCCCGTTCAGGTACGGTGGCGCCGTGCTGTGGCAGGCTCGGCGCCCGGTGCGGCGCGGTGGGGACCGTGCATGTGAGCAGTTACAGCGGTAACGGATCGCTCGACTGCGGTTGGATAGAGATAGGCAGCGTGGGATGTCTAAGTGGCTGTGCCTGCAGTCTGATCATTCAGTGATAAATAAAGGGTCCTTCATCTAGTTAACTTGCTTTTTTGTTGGGATAATAACCCTAGATGTAAGTAACTTTACCCGTGATATATGGGTGGGCAGTTAACAAAAAGGCCTTTGATTTTATCGGGATAACAATTGCTCGGGTGGGTCGAACCCTTGTTTAAACTATCCTGGTTAAACATGACTAACGCAAGAACCTATCGGAACGCTTCGTTCGTGGTTCATGGACTGACCGAATCTACTTGATAGGCTGTTGAAACGTTTCACTACGCTAGAACTGCTAGGCCTGCCTTGATCGTTGCCTGACACCGTTCGCTTAGCGCTCGACTGCTAGCCGTTACCGATTATTTCAGCATGCCGTTTTCCCTGATTTTGCCTAGCCCTGCATTGAGTGCGCCTGGCAGTCGTAGCACGTCAGCTCGTGTGTGGTAGATCCAGTACGAGCAGTGTGTCGCCACCCTGCATGCCCTGTTACAGCGCCAGTAGTAAGCTAGGCCTGGCCTCCAACCTGGCCTCGTACAACCTGCGCCGGGCAGAGCGGCGGTTCCGCCGGAGCATCGACACCATCACGCCGGAGCTCGACGGGCTCATGAAAACCTACAGGTGGGTGCCGAGTGGGCCAGTGGTGGCTCAGTGAGCGGCCGTAAGGAGCTGTTTTGGAGATATGTGAGCTATCGGAGCTGCAACGCTGTGGTGAGCAGCTGTGGAGCTATGAGAGCTGCTGTGGTGCGTCGGTGGTGGCCTGGAGCTATGGGAGCTGTTAAAGCTGTAGCGCTATGGTGAGCGGGTTTGCAGCTATGGTAGCTGCCGTGGTGAGTTGGTGGTGGTTTGGAGCTACGCAAAGCTTTGGTGGGCCGGCTCGCATTCGCAGTTTCGATGAACTGGGGCAGATCTGAGAGCAGTCAGCTTTGGTGAGCTGATAGATAGTCAAGGACCATCAGAGCTTGTGGAGAACTCTCGAGTTCTTGGTGAGCTTTTAGATAGTCACAACACTCTCTGGGACGAGAAGGTGATGGTGGATCTATGGAAGCTTCGATGACCTGGCACAGTCGACTCCCAAACATTGGACCAATGGACTGGATGACTGCGGGAACTGGTGAGCTGCTCTCGATCTGTCAAGCTGCCGTGGTTTGCTTACTCAGGTGCCAGTTCCTAAGGTAGACCCTCGGTGCGCCTGTGGAGTGTGGAGGCCATTGTGGAGACAGACCGGCACCCGGGGGCTGTCTACTTATGTTGCTAATTTGAAACACTGTTGCGTTGTTTATTTTGCTTTTAGATCTCTCGCAAGTATGCCATACTGGCAGAATGTTGTAGCCTGCGGCATGTAGCGTGCTTGAATTCCGCCGTATCAGCTGACGTTTCCTCGCGATGCATGACGCTTGTTATTCTTGTGTGATTGATTTCGAGGAATGCACCATTTCTTGCTCACTTCTTGCGCTGGAGGAAAATCGCCCCAAATTTCTAGCAATATTTTGCCAAGTTGACTCCTTTCCGTTTCTACATACCTTAGGAGAATGGTTCAATTAGTGGTGAGTTTTACGTCCTGATCTGAACGAACTTTTTAATATTATACTGTCCATCCCCACTTATTTTGCCCCGATACAGTTCAATTAATTGCGTTATAATTTCAAATATCCTGTATTTTCAATGTGGCTTAGTGCTGACCGTCGTGTGACTTCCTGTGTGGGACTCAAGCTGACCTCTATTTGATCCCACCTGACCCGAGTATGACCTCTACCCCTCCCATAACCCACAGCCCTGCCAGTCTGAAGAACCACGAGCTGGTCAAGTCGGGGGTCAGCTCCATCCGCTCGGCAGCCACCTCGATGTACAAGAAGCTGGATGAGCTGAAGGAGGTCATGTCGAGCCAGAGTCCGGCGCTCACCAAAACCATGAGCCTGTGAGTTACCAACGAGGCGGAGAGCACGACTGAGTTGGTGTGAGTGTGAATGTGTGTGCGACTGTGTGCGTATGTGTGTCTGTGTGTAAATGTGCGTGTTTTCTAGTTAAATGTCCATATGACTGGGTTACGAAGGTGAAAAGTTGAAAGTTTTCCTCTGCCACCTTCACTGCTCGACCGCGGTCAGGCTGAACCTGGCTAAGTACTGCGCTTCCTGGCTGACTGGCTGATCACCTTGGTCTGAGCACTGCCGCCTGGCACGGGGAGGGGAAAAAGGGCTCTAAGTGACACTCGGGGCCCGGTGGATGGCGGGTGCCGGGCCACTACCAATGCACCGACTGCTGAGACCGACTGCGGGCGGGCGAGGCTCCCGGCCGTGAACGAATGCCGCACGTGGACAGACACTCTGATGGAATGAAGTGGTGTGCTTAGCGTGTGAATCGGTGTGCTTGTTTGGCTATGACGCATCCACACTTAAGGCAATAAGTCCATTTGGAATAACGAAGCTTCCATACATCTATCAGAATATGACGGTCCTTTGAGACTTTCGTATCGCAAAAACTACATCACAAGCAATTCCGCTACTAATTTCAATGTTTTATAAGTGTTTGGCATTGAGACACCTGCCCCCTCTGTAAATGGCTGGTTGGCCCCACTATCTCTGTGTACGCCCGGCTGCGCGCGGCTCTTATCTCACCTCAGTCCGTGCTGGTTCGCAGGCTGGGCACTAGTATGCCGTCGAATTTCCAGTACACTGCGTACAGGTACCCGTCGGCGAGCAGCCGCGCGCGCGGCGCCCCCGCATGGCTGTTTATCCCGCTCTGTCTGACCGACCGGCCGGTCCGGCGCTACCCGCATGTGTCCATGGCTGTCACTGGGGCACAGATTCGCACACTGACCTGCGCCGGGCGGCGGGGAAGATTGACAATGACAGGGGCTGATTTGTAGTGAGCTGATGCCTTCCCGAGTTGTGTTGTTAGAAGGGAAACATGTGAGACAGATGTTTTGGTGTCCTGATGATGAACTGTTTTGTGTGTGGCAAAACATGCGCTAAGGAACCCAGTTTGACAGGCTTTGTTTGATGTTTGTTTGCTTCGATGGCTTTTGTTTTGTTACTTCATCTTTCGGGTCTTATGATCAGTTTTACACAACACATACACCTGATTTGTGTAGCAGGTCCTTCATTTTATGACAACAGCTCCCTACCTCGAACAATTCCCTCTGCCGTCTGTGTCAAAGCGAAGAGATCTGTATTCGCAGGGGTTTGACTTACAGTGTTTGTTTAGTAATCGATGGCACAGTGATGTCTGTGCTGCATTGTTCTCTTCTATCCTTTCTCGTAGCTAATAGGCATGCCAGCATCAGCTATTTGGACTACCCTTTTCTCGCTTCTTTCCAATATAGTCTTGCTCGTCTTTTAATATCACCGAGTGTCGCACAATAACAGTAAGCATTACAATTTAGTTAGTACCCAAGTATCTGTCGGCCTTTTCTCTTTAACTTGACATGACGGCTATTATTTCAATTTCCATTCAGGACAACTATTTACAGGCTTTGTCGGAAATATGAGCCGTTCGCATGGACCTAATAAATTTTCAGTTTATCTACTAATCTGTTATTCGCCTACCGGCAGAGCAGCCTGTTTCTGTTCCGTGCGAAGTTAGTTGCATGCCGTCAGTTTTGTCCGTAGTTTTCACCTTACAGACATGTGTAACCCATCCCACTTCTGACACCAATGACTTGCTCGCCCACACCTGACCCCCTCCCCCGCCCGGACCACACCGGCTCCTGGCGCCGTCACAACCCCCCCCCCCCCTCCATCAGGACCAGTATCGGCGAGGATGACGTGTTGGACGACATGCGTCACGCCGGCTCGGCAGAGGTGATCCCCGGCTTCTCCGAGGCCTGGTGTGACGGACTCTTCAACGACACCCACTCCAGCTCCGGTAGGTGGGACACCGCCAGCGAGAGAGAGCGAACGGGTGGGCGGACGGACGTGTCTCTCTTTCTCAATCTGCTCTCGTCGATCCCTCTTCCTCCATTCATAACTTACGTCACGGTTACCGATTGGGTTCCTTACGGAACTATTACACGAGTGTCCTGGAACCTCATCTGTATGTGTAATGAGACGTTATATGTATGTCTGAGCCCGCGTATAGCGGTACCATGACCCGCTTCCCCTCCCCTGTCCGCAGAGCTGGCGGTGCCGGCGCCGCTGCCGCCCGCGCTGCCCGCGCCGCTCGCCCCGGTGGCCGTGGAGCTGGCCCTCACCTCCTGCAGTCGCTGCTACAAGTGCCAGGCCACCGTGTACGACGAGGAAATCATGGCCGGCTGGTCGGCAGAGGAGAGCAACCTCAACACCAAGTGAGACAGACGCCCGGCTGAGTCGCAGATGATTAGTTTGTCATGAGATACAGCTGTGAGGCGAAGTACGAACGACGTGGCCTACGTGTGTAAAAATATTTGTAAAAATATTATGATTTTGATGATTATGAGGCAGAAGTTCGTTAGGATCGTGTCAAATACTGTTACGTACTGGATAAGCGTCGAATTGGAATACAACTGAGATATTCGTCTGATACCGACACCCACCAGCACAGTCCCGAGTCGTCTGACCCGTCCCGACCTGCCCCCCCCCCCCCCCGTCAGGTGCCCGTTCTGCCGTAAGCCGTTCGTGCCGCTGCTCACGGTGCACGTGCGCGACTTCCGGAACGTGAGCCGCGAACAGCGCGCCGCCGAGCAGCTCCAGCAGACGGAGGGAACCGGTGAGTGGGTTCTCCAACAGACCGACATGCTGAGTGTAACGGTGTCCGTGCTGGCTGGCTTCAAACCGCCGCGCTGGTGCCGTGGCAGGAGACTGCCTGGTGAATTGTTTGCCTTACAGGAGACGTCTGGTCAGGCATCTAGAGTTGGGTCCGAATGGTGCACTGTGCCTCCACGGGTGTTGATTCCTGACGGATGTATTTAACTTCAGTGGGTGTTACACCTCTAGGTGATGTATTTTATTCTCTACTTCGGATGTTACACCTCTGACTGCTCTATTTCATCCTCTGCAGCGGGCTTTTACACTTCTGATGAGTGCTTTTATCCATGGAGTGGGTGTTACACCTCTGACGGGTGTATTTCCACCCCCAGCGGGCGTGCTGCTGGACCCCATCACGCTGCCCTACCTGAGTCCGCTGGTGCTCCGTAAAGAGGTGGAGAATGTGATGGACCACGACGGCCAGGGCTGTCTGTCGGCGGCCACCTTCGTCGACGAGCACCCCATCATCTACTGGAACCTGGTGAGGCCGGGCGGGCGGTGGAAAATGACGATACCTATTTCTTATCGGATATAGTGAAAAACGGGCAGTGGGAACGCGCAGTACCTGTGAGGGAAGGCGGTGGGAATGCAATACCCGGTATACTACTGTGGAGCCTTATGTTTCACCGATGTTCTCGTTTGCGTAACCCCCGCGTCTCCACAGGGCACGCCCCACCTGCCTGACCTGTGTCTGTACTGTGTAACGCTTCCCCGTGTCCCCACAGGTGTGGTACATGCAGCGGATCAGTGTGCCGTCCCACCTCCCCGGCCTGTGTCTCCACTGCCGGCTGCTGGAGGAGCGGGGAGCTCCTGCCGACGGCTGGGAGCAGGCCTCCTGGAGACACGTCCAGGTCCGCTGTCTCTGGGACAACCCCAAACTGCACGACGAGGTGAGACGGGGAGAGGGCGCAGCGGGACAGCCAGGGGATGGGACAGGTACCCGGGCGTCAGGGACACAATTAGAGCTGTGTGAGGTAGGGGATGAGACATTTGCTTGGATGCAATGGAAGGGATTTTAGAAATAATTTGAACTGCCCGTTCTGCATTTAACGTACGGTCTAGTCGATATTACTTTATTTTCCCTCCTGTCTGCTTACGTTACACCCTTGACGCGTCCCGCCCTGACCTGACCGCTCTCTGTCCTACTCTCAGATTGTGCAGCCAATGTACGTCCAGTGGAAGGAGTCGCCGCTACGATCATCGCTCGTCGATGCCCTCGTCACCGACGATCTGGCCTTCTCGAAAAAGTGAGCCAGCACCTGACGTACATACTTTGATGGGGTGTGACAGTCGCTTGCATCTCGTATCATGGATGGCTAACAGCGTGTGTCGATTTTACGTTTTGCTGTGTGCATGCTACGTGCAGTAAGAGCAACTGAAGTGAAAATGTCTTTAACCTCTTCATCCTCCCCGCTACAGCACGGAACAGTCGGTGCTCTCCTGCGTCCAGTGCCCCTCTGACCCCTGACCCTGCCGTTACAGCTCAGTGCACTGTGCAGTCAGTACTTTCCTGCGTCCGGTGTACAATTCTGACCCCCCCCCCCCCCTGTTACAGCACTGTGCAGTCGGTACTCTCCTGCGTCCAATGCACCACGCTGGACGCGGCGCTGTGCACGCTGAGCTCCAACATCGGCGCGCGCCGGATGCGGGACAAGCACTTCTCCACCTACCGGGACATCATGTTCCTGGCGTTCGCCGCCATGGGCAGGGAGAACATCGACCTCAGTAAGTAGGACGACAACGCCTCGGGGTGATGTGGAGAAAAAGTCAAACGATGGGCTGTGGGGTGGACTGATGGAGCGGTCGGTGGTTGAAGGTGTAAACGTTGGTTGGAGGGCTCTTAGGCCCTTAAGATGGATCGGTGGTGGGCTGTTGTGGCGGTATTCCCCGACATTTTAAGAGAAGTTTTTAGCGGACAGTTCGTTCCGGCTGTGCTAATGTACCTCGCTGGCTCGTTTGAACCGCTTCCCCTATCTACCCCTTCTCAGTGCTGTACGACCGCGAGTACCGGCGGGCCTACGAGGAGCTACCCGAGGAGGACCGACAACAGCTGAACGAGGCCGACCGGCCGCCGTCGAACGCGGCACTCCTCTGCCGCCGCTTCTTCCGCGAGCTCGAGACCTGAGACGACGTGAGTTCTGAGACAGCTGGGAGACGCGGGACGTGGGTTCTGAGACAGCGGGGAGACGGTAGCTGAGAGCCACCGGCGGTTGGACGCGGATGGAGCCGCGTCGCGTCAACCGGGGAGTACGGGACAGAGACCGTGAGTTGAAGTGTTCATGTGTGTCTTTTGTGATTAGGAAGGGATGTTGAAAGGTTAGACTGTTGGGAGAGGAGAGGGGTAGTTGAGCGGCCGGCTTTCGGACCGGCTCGACCGGTGAGAGCTCCCGCCACTCTGACATACGGGGTGTCCTCGGCTCCCGGCAGCTGCTGGGTCAGCCGCTGAGCTGCCGCCGTTGTTTCTCGTTCACCCCTGGCACGACCCGCGGTGACGCTGACGAGTACTAGCAGCTGTCTCACGTCCCTCCCCTCTCGGGGCTTTGTTGACTGGCTCGGGGTCTGCGATGGCCTGACGTAGGAGCTTACACCGACGCTGGTCGCGGTGGAGGCGGCAGTCGGGCCTCGTCTCTCATATGTGTTCTGACGTCGATTTGTGGCGTCTTCAGCTCCCCAGTGGTCCTGTTGCTCGCTGCATTAGACCGGTCGTGTTGGACGTTGAGAATACTAACGTCTGGTGTGAGTGGGTGGTCTAGCTCTGACAGGTTACCTAGGCGTTATTCCCGTTATACGTGATCAGCCGCCCGTGGTGTGCCCGTAAGCCCAGCTGTCAGCTGTTCCTGTGTTCGCTAACCCGCCGCTCACGGCTGCGTTTTCTAGCTATTTAGTCGCGAGTTTCTGCGGCGTCACTGACTGTGTTATTGTGGTGTGTTCCCGGCGGCTGCCGTGTGTGTTCCGTTATTGCTGTGTGCTCCGTGTGAGTGTGGGTAGGCGCGTCTGCCACTGAGTCCGGTTTTAGTGCGGGCTGAGGCGACATGGCAGTTAGGAGCTTATCATATCACCTGGCGCCGTCAGTTGCTAGATTGAACAGAGGTTTATCGGCCTTTTGCAGCTCTGATAGCCCGGCGACGGGCGGGTTTATCGACCGTTCACAGCTCTGATAGCCCGGCGACGGGTAGGTTCAGAGTTGGTCGTTCGCAGTTCTGACGGTCGGGTTCAGAGTAGACCGTTCGCAGCTCTGACGGGCAGGTTTCAGAGCTGGCCGTGCGCAGCTCTGACGGGCGGGTTTCAGAGCTGGCCGTGCGCAGCTCCGCGGCCAGCCGCCGGCAGCCTATATTCCATGTTGTCACGATGCTAGTCCTCTGGGTGATATGGCCGCTGCTAGCTGTGTTTTCGATAGTTTCTCACCGTACGAACGAGGCGGGACGTTTTGGTTTTCTTCGCGCATGTTTTGATATTAGGGACTTTGTGTTGCGCCGAGCCGTCCGGTGTCTGAGGTGACCGTGTCGACTCCGGGGGCGGCGAGTGTGTGGTCTTCCATGTCTATTCTGTACGAAACCCTGCCGTGTACCGCTCCGGGCTTGGTTTGTTGCTGCTACTGCTGAGCCGTAGCGCTGCTACCGTAACACGGCTGCTACTCTCCCCTGAATCACTAATAGAGCCGACTGGTGCGCCTCCGTCCGCTGTCACAGACCGGATGCGTTCGTGGGTGTTCTGCGCGCGAGCTCCGCGCCGTGTTGTCACGTGCTGTAGACAGATCTAGCTCGACTCTATGGTGGCCGTTACGGGCGCAGTTGTCGCGTCTGCCGGTAGGTGGCAGCGCTGTCGTGTGCTCCGTCGGGCGCCGGTAGATGGCAGTAGTGGCGTGTTGTGCCCGCGCGGTAGCGGTGTTGGTAGCGGGCTGCATTTCGGGAGATTTATATTGACTGTATCCGTGTCCATATTTGTACTGAAAGCCATCGAGTTACGGGAGAGGCCTGTGTGCGGACGTGTGTTCGTGTGTGTTCACGTGTACGAGTATCATGCCAGCCAGCACTATACATACCTATATAAACGTAGCTTGACTCGTGCTGCTACTGCACTGAACTGGAAATACAACCAGAACATTATTGGCACGGCTGTTTTCGCATATAGCAGGGCATCGATTCATGTATGTACTTGAACGCGGTTTTTGTGGGAATCATTCGCGTATGAACAGGAGACGGTGGCCATTCCAATGCTTGAAATTCAGGGCGGCTTAAAGCGAGCAACATCAATAAGTTCAATCTTCATTATTCAGCGGTGCTTTCTCAGCGGAAGTGCTGCCCACATAATACACATACTTGCGAGGCCACCGTGTTATCAGAACGTCCCTATGACTACCCAGAATCCTTCTTATGTGCCCCAACCACCCTAAAACATCAGAAAACTAGACAGTGTCACCCCCTCCCCCTCCTTCGTCCTCCCCACCTCAGTCGTGCACCGATATCATGATCTTGATGCCCCGTCCGTCGAGCGCCGCCTGGAAGGCGCTCTCGCTCTCCTCCAGTGTGAACCGGTGGGTGACGAGGGGACCCAGCTGGACGCGTCCGGACGCCACCAGGTCCAGGGCCAGAGGGTAGCTGTCGGCAGAGACGGGCAGGTCAGGGGCGAGAAACGGGAGGACCAGGGCCGTGGGGGCGCAGGCGGCTGGTGACTCAAGGGTAGAGAAGTAGGTATGATTGACTGGACAGAAACATGCTTCGTAAGTGCTCAACGTCTGTCTAGGATCTTGTTTATCCTCTGATAAGTTCTCTCCACGATTTGCCTATTTCAAGTCATGAACTCATGCATGAGACCGTTAACGCTAGTGGAAAAGTCCCCTTTTACACTACCCCTGTGCACGATAACGCTCCCGTATGCACCCTCTGAGACAGCACAGGGTGCCTCAGTCCTCAGATCCTTACTATCCACCCCGCCACTCACCAGTTGGCGTAGCGGAAGACGCCGTTGATGTCCAGCTCCTTGGCGGCTATCGTCACCATGGGCAGGTCCATGTCGGGCGGCCCGCGACCCACGAACGCCAGCTTCGCGCGCGGAGCTGCCGCCTGCGACACAATATAGACAGGCAGTGAGAGAAGTTGGAGCAAGAGAGGGCAGAGGAAGCGACGTAGGGGCTCGTTTTACTTAGGTACCGCTGGCGTAGTTCGTGAGTCCTATCCTTGTTTTATGCCAACATTCAGCACACAACAACGGACAACCTCTCCATTGTATCTGTATCCCTGCACATCAAACACAAAAGCCATTCCAGCCTCCCCACTTCCCAGGTAGGTGACTCCTGCTGACCTGAAGCGCCATCCGCACGCTGGGTGCGGCGCCGCAGCATTCGAGGATGGCGGTCGGTGGCCCGCCAAGTGCTGCCACCACGCGGCCGGCCAGCTCCTCCTCACTAGCGCCATCTATAAGCACGGTGCCGTCCGCGCCCTGGCCGGTGGCAAACTCGAGTCGAGACGGCGAGATGTCTGTGGAAAAGACGGTGAGGTCAGCGGGGTCAGAGAGGTCAATAAGGGAAGGCGGGATCACTATCAAGGCCGGTCATTGAAGACCACTGAGGTCATCGAGGTCAAACAGAGGTTTAGCGAGGTTAACATGAGGCAGGTGGGGTCACTGAGGTTCACAAAAGGTTCGGCGAGGGTCGTGGGACATTTTATTACAAAATGAAAAATGCCCTTTACTCTCAGGTAGCCTGTCGTCCGACTTCTGTCCGTGACCAACTCCTCATAGTGAGTTATCTCCCTAAGACCCACTCTCCCTCCTTCTCTCCCCTCTCTCTTCCCTCTCACCAGTGACACAGACGCGGGCGGCGGCCAATGCGCGGGCCGTCAGCAGGCTGACCACTCCGATGGGTCCGGCGCCGCACACCAATACACGGGACCCGAGCCCGACGCCGGCGCGCTGGCAGCCGTACACGGCCACCGTCAGCGGCTCCAGGAGGGCGCCCTCCTCCAGAGACACGTGGTCCGGCAGCCTGCAGACAGCGGGCGGTCAAAGAGGTCACTGCCGACGGCATGAGAGACCGTAGCGCACGGCAAGGGATATCACTGCCGACGGCACGGGAGATCGATCACCGCAGATGGCACAGGAACTTCGGACGGTACGAGAGCTCACGGCCAGTCAAAGTAGCTGTAACGCTCTCTAAAAGCATCCTATTTGGATATTGGCATTGAGCTGGCGATGCCCCATGAGGCAGCCGCATTGAGACTGCGTCTCGGCCCGTCGCGTTGCTCTCACTTGTAGCAGAAGTCGGCCGGGTGTCGGTACAGCCGGGTCAGCGTGCCGTCTACCGGCGGGGTGGCGCAGAACTGCACCGCCGGACACACGTTGTAGCGGCCCGCCTTACAGATGGGGCACAGCCGGCACGGTACGCCCGGCTCGATGGCCACGCGGTCCCCTGGCGCAGAGAAAGGGCAGAGGTTGGAGAGAGGTCACAGAGAGGTCAGAGGTCGCATAACGAAGGCAGCTGTCACAGAGAGGTCACATAGTGAGGGTAGAGTCAGAGCGAGGGTAGAGGTCAGACGGTATAGACAGGGGTCGCATTGAGAAAGCAGAGGTAACACCGCGAGGGTAGAGGTAGAGGTCAGATAACGAGGTCCCAGAGGTCACATAGGAAGAAAGGGGTCTCATAACGAGGCCAGGGTCACATAGGGATCACATACAGATGACCGACGTCATACACGAGGAAGTCTCAGGAAGGCGGAAGTCCCAAAATGAAACTCAGCATCCGTATCTGCCTGTGGCCCCGCGCTAGCCCAGCAGTGCCGGCTGCCGATCCCACACCTACCGGGCCTCAGGTGGGTGACCTGGCTGCCGACTGTCTCCACCACGCCGGCCGCCTCGTGGCCCAGCACCATCGGCGACTGGACGACGAATCGCGCGGTGCGGCCGCGGTGCCAGTAGTAGACGTCCGAGCCGCAGATGCCCACCTTGTGGATCCGGATCACCACGTCTGCAGAGCAAGGAGGGGAGATGGTTCGGGGAGGTCAGTAAGGTAGAGGGACGGAGGGCAGCAGGCGAACGTTTGGAGAGTCAAAGCAATTTGTTGACCGCGCGGATGGCCACGTGAGACGTTAGCTTCGGTCAGTTAGACCTGACAAAAAAGCAGGAAGGGTCATGAGATGCAGGAGTTTGGTGGGCCAAATTCTTAGTGCCAAGCTATGTCTGTGCGAAAATGCGCCTTTGTTCCTCTCACCCTGCGGTCCCGGCTCGGGCAGCTCCTTCTGCTCCAGCCGCAGGTCCCGGGCCTTGTGCAGCACCGCCGACAGGTTGTCCCGGCTCGGCGCCATCGTCACCCGGCGCTCTACTCTGGCCCCTCCGCCGCTCGGCAGCCACTGCTCGCTCCTCCCGACCACTTCTCCCCTCTGTCCGCACTGCCCTCACACCATCCACATGTGGGACCGCTGCCGCCCCTACTGACGCGCGGCCGCTCCTACCCCTCTGAAGCACGGCAGCTCACGCCCCAACTGTCGCGCGGCCGCTCGCGCCCCCACTGACGCGCGGCCGCTGCTCGTCAGCGGCGCCAGATGGCTCTCAAACGGCCCGTTCCAACTTCCAAGGTCACGACTCCAGTACAAAACACAGCCCCGCCTCTGGCCCCGCCCGGCGTCCGATGTCTCCCAGAGTCTGGAGCGGCTGTCACAAAACTAGAGTTATATGAGTTCGTCACGTCAGTCATAACAGAGACCAAACCATCAGCTCGGATTGTCGCACTTTATTATTCAGAATACACGGTTAGAAAATCGCGCGCACGATCACTTTCCTGTTCGCCGGTTCTCGTCACACACATTTACTCACACGCACATGTACGCCGCCGCCGACTGGGGAGAGAGGAGACGAAACAGAGGCAGAGGGAGAGGAGGGGAGCGGACCTGGGAGAACCGGAGAGAGGACGGGACGGGCGGCGCTCAGATTAGGTCAGGGCAGGTCAGGGAAGGGGAGATCGTATCACAGAGTGGCGACTCTGGCCTCGCCACCTCGGCCCGCGATCCGCTGCCGCGGTGGAACGTCGACAGCGACGATGACGTCACGAGCCGATCGACGATGACGTCACGGGTCGTTCGGCAGTGACGTCTCGGCCGGTCCGCCGGCCGGGATGATGAGCAAATGGGACGGTTGTGAGCGGCCTCCGAGCGGCGGACAGCACCCTTATGACGGACGAGCGGCGGGCCAGGGACTGACGGAGCGCCAGACGCCTCCAGCGGGCCGCACACGCCGGCCCCAGACCGGCGCCAGGCGCGCAACCAAACCAAGACGGACCGATGGTACAGCAGGCATACATTTTGATCAGAATGCTTGAATCATTGACTAGCTTTCTCTCAAAATACTGGACACTAAACGCTACAAACAGGCAAAATCTCGCTGTGGCAGCGCGGCCACTGTCGCCGTACCGCTGCGCGCGCGCGTCAATAAATAGATAAGTAGGGGGGCCGAACGGAGACACGCCGGGCGGCGGCCGAGGTGGCGGGCGGCCGTTTGAACTTGCTGAGGTAGCCCGTCCAGCGGCGCGGCGGCTACGGTTGGCTGAACATGGGCTGGTGCGAGTGGTGCGGAAACGGCCGCCGGTGCGGCTCCGGGGTGAAGAAGGCGCGCCGGTCCAGCGGCGGACGGCCAGACGGAGACCTACGGAGCACGACGGTGGAGAGTCACACCGCGGGATCTATCACCATAACTCGGCCGAAACTACAGACAGGCAAACTTATCACATACAACGGCCGCTCATCATATCATGCGACACAAAATCACAACACAGAGCGATACGATAAAGCGCGCGGCGAGATAGTGAGACAGACGAGCATCCGAATGACACGACACTCGTTAACTCTGCGCACCCTAGACATCAACTCACGCCCGAACCATAACACGGCCAAATCCCCCTTCACCCCCCCCCCCGCCCACACACCTCGTTACGACCGCGGCGTGCACCGCCACCTACCCGTGTGACTGTGACGTTGAGGCATTTGGCACAGACTGAGAGCCGCCACCGCGGCCCGCGTCCTGGCGTCGCATCATCAGCGGAGACGCCATCGAGTTGTACCTGAAACACGCGCGGTGTGGTTCGTATAGGGGCGGGGGCGAGCAGATGGGCCGGAGGGTCCAGT